AGCCTAAATAGTTGTGAATATATCACAGTGATACTTTTTAATTATGAAACGCTATATATGTTATGTTCATTGCGGATATATAATATCGATCAGGATTACTGAGACATTTTTATTACTTTATGGTTTTGCGTTCGCATATCTCTAATAGCATATTGTCAATATTTACAAATAATTTTAAATGTTAACGACAATGCCGACACATCCAATCTATTTTATCCCTTTTATCTTGCGCTTTGTGACTCTTGAAACAACTCTGGTTCAGTTTGTACGTCAACCTAATCCGACTATAGGATGATTAACCACGTTTAAATAGCTACAGTTATTTTTTGTGGGTTTGCAGCCCTTACACCTACCATAAACGATGGTTTCGTCTTACCGTCGTACTTCCTGGAGATTTAATACTTGCGTTGCAACATAATATGTTGTGTGGGAAGGCTACAGCTGATGAGAGAGTGAATTACCTGTATATTAACAATACCGGTCGATTGGTTTGTTGGTTATTATAGATAACAATGTAAATTAAAACTATTAACTCAAAAGATTATATTTCCCGTTCTAAATTCGTGGTAATTTGAAATTTAGAGTTTGGAAATATTGTATCTCTTCCTTAAATTATTGCACGCATAAAATTAGTCTGGAGTGTGCAGTGTGTAGCAGGTAGAAGAAATGGTGAAATTGTTGGCTCCATTGGGAAACAATTTGCATAAAGGTTTGCCTTAGTGAATTGTTTGTGTCTGGGTAAAGGGGCTGTTCTCGAATTCCAGAAAATATCGAAATGTATTTTATTACATATTTATTGCGGCCAAATAAAATAATATGAATAATTATTACGTTAAAAATTGGCTGGCGAATGTTTTACTTGCCACTAATTACTCAAAGTTATAATTAATGTTTATTCTTATATTTACCGTCATTTTCTGTGAAAAGATAACATTCAGCTTTGTCTATCATCGATTTGAATCATGCCGGTACTAATAATAATTACGAAATATTTACCTTGCATCAACAAAATTTCGAATGAAATAATTAATATCTTAACTTCCAAAACAATTTAAATGCCTGCATTATTTCCACATAGTTTACTTATTTTTTTTACCAAAGGTATCATTTCATAAAAGTAAATCAGACATTAAAAGCTTACTCGTATGGCGGTTGCTATTATCAACTAAATTCTTCACATTTGTTAACAAAATCGGCAAAAATTATGCCACTTGTAAGGTAGTGAATTTAATTTAATTTTAATATAAATTTAAAAATTTACAAAAACGCGAGACCTTTAAATCACGTTTTAAAAAATATAGATGGTGCTGATCATTTAGAGACGAAATACCGGATTTCTAACTAGTTGTCCGCATACTTATCTAGGACATACGTTATATATTTTTTGATAACTAATAACCTTGAAAACGACATATAAATAATCGAAGTATGTGCTTTATTTAAAATATTATGTTTCTTTGAATGGACTGAGTTTACGAAATTGAGACTTTGGAGATTGACTGGATTCAGAGCAGCATCCCCATCTAGTTCCTTAATACAGGCCTGACTTTTATTGTACCGTGAGTGACACACCATTTTTTTAATAAGGTTAGTTATCGTGTATACTGTACACCGGATTCCTCCGCCCACGATCTAAAGGAAACCTATTTTCATGTTTACCGTTGAGAAGTAAAAGTTTCACTTTGGTCAAAAGAAGAGCAACGCAACGAGTCAATAATTTTTTAAATGCACTGCTCTCCAAAATCGACGGAAGTTCGGAAAATATGTGCTAATTATTCATTTATTAAATTAATATTTAATAAAATAAATTTTTATCAAATATTGGTGTAACACTTCAGGTTTTGAATTTGACAAATCCACTCTGTATGGGAGTTGTCCCAATAAACACGAACGTAGCAAACAAACCTCAATTGCAGGTGAGAGGCGTGATCCGTTCGTTTTATTATTTAAAACCGCTATCAAAGATTCCTCGAAAACCGCGATAGGCGATAGTTCTTGTAGGTAGTGACATCTGGCGGATTCATCGGGATCGCATTATATTTAGCGTTGGACGTGGTCTTGTCTGGCATTGAGACCAATTAGTTCGGATTAGTCATTCAATTAGTCGGATTCGTCTTAAATGAACCTTGTGTAATAACAATTATTGATAATGAAACGCGATGCTGGCGCTAGCTGATGAGGGGACAACGTCCTCTCGGGTGTATTAAACCCCCAGAGACGCGCGGTCAGTTATCTCTTTGGATCGAACCTTTATCTATTTACTTGTATGGTCTGTTTATAGCTACAAGAAAGTGACCAATCGCTTTTGAACGGATTATCCAAGGGTGGTCGCTCATTAACATACAATGCAACAAGATTATTACCGTAATTTTAAATAAATAATTAATAATTACCTTAATTAATAATAATAATAATAATAATCTTGGATAATCCGTTCAAAAGCAATTGGTCCCTTTCTTAGATTTATGAACAGACCATACGCATAACCGTAAATATGATGATTATTTTGGAAATACACGGTGTACCAAATTAAATGCTCACTATGGCTAACAAGTTAACGGTGTAATGCCAAAATTAAAAGCACATTCGATGCTTCAGACGAATGTTCTATCAAACAAGTAACTGTAGTAAATGTTGATTTAGATTTAAAATGATGAATATTATAAAATGGAGTTTAAGACAAATAAAATGTTTGCAGCGAAAATAGCAGAACAGTTTTAAAGGCCACCAAACGGGTATTAAGAAATTACCGAAAAAATATTAAAAAAGAGGGTTATGTTTTTGAACATTTAATCTAGATTGTGTTTCAGGGCGGACATTTATTTCATAAAATCGTGAATAACCTGATAAAAGATAAGATTTGCAAATACTAGACCTAAAAATATACCAGGAGCTTTATTTGGAAATGAGATATTCATTTTGTTGTATTCGTCATCATACTGAAAGATACTTCTGTGCTAATTTAATAGACTTGGCATCCCTAATAATGCAAAACTCAGAACTCCGTATGTGAAATTTCTTGTAACATTTTCAAAAACTAAAAGCCGTTCTTCCAATTGTCCATGTTTCTTTGAACCAAAGACGAAGATAAAATTGTATGTTTAATTATATGTGTACTCCAATTTTTTTTATATGTAATAACACCCTTTTCAAATAACTTTTTTCTATATTTTTTTAACTAATTCTAATTTCTACGGGTCCAATACAAATACATTTAACCACAATACCTGAAGTAATGTTTTACAACATTACGCACAAACAGAGATCCATATTGATAAACATCAAAGACACAAAACCAGTTATCCCATGTCTTAACACGTAAACATCCACGTGTAATACCAGTTTCTATATTTGCAATGAACCTTAAAAAAAGAAAATTAACCTATTCGACGTAATATTTTTTTTAAGTAAATGTAAAAAACAAAAAAGAGCTTCAAAAGGCCAACCACAGATAATTTGTTTCCAGTTTGAAGTATTTTTCCCGGTGCTATAGAGCGCTTCATTTTCGAGAAAAAATGCATTTGAAAATTTTAGTATGGTTTGATTTTGAAATATTGTTCATTGCACGCAATCATATTTAATTATGTTTACACTTCCGAATATGTGATCAGGCGTACGTCATGAAGTTTATTCTCTATTTTAGGTAGTGGTTAAAATATTTTCTTATTTCCAAAATAAAATAATAAGTCTAAATGTCAACACACCTTAATCAATATTAGGAAGCGATTAGACACCTTGTCATAGTCTAAAAATACAGTAGGTAGAAAAATTCCTTTCCTTAAAATTTCGATCAAATAGAGGTATGGTTAGGTATCAAGTAGCTTTATGCTCGAATTAATGCAGGTTTCTGAAACTCACTATTGAATTCAAGGTTGGATTTGACAAATAAAAATCTTTTGTTACGGCAAATTTTCACAATGTAATTAGTAGATTCATTGTATTTATTATTTTGTTACTATACAGTTGCGAAATGTTGTAGCTTTAACCTATGAAAAATGAAAACTAATGTATTTATTATACGCGAGCTTTCCCACGAGCTACCCGCAATTAGTGCCTCGTTTTAACCGAATGTAGTTTGTTCCTACCAATGTTGAACGCATATAATCAAACAAAACAGTTTTTCATAAAACTCTCATAGTTCTAATATTGCCCATACAACTCATTCCCTTTGTTAAGTTTCAATCAATCTTTTCAGACGATTTTCTTTAACTTTACCGTGTCATGCTTGGTCTGCGTTTGTTACAAAAGCCGTTAGGAAGTTTGAAATATTTGCGGAAGTGCATTTTTAGGTCATTCCATAGTAGGTACCTTCTTACCCTTTCCGAAGGATGGGCTATTTATCACTATTTTTTATTGTCGTTGATCAGTAATAAATACCTAGGATGTTTAGCCTCGTTTGACTAATATTTCGTGCCAATCTTTGGAAATTGTATTCATCCGCTTCGAACTTTTGTTGTTGCCTTCATTTACCAACGCCTTAATCTTAGGTAAATATCCCTTTAAGCAATTTTTTGATAACGCACATCACGCCGTGCGATAACCACACTAATATTTGTTTTGTGGCTAATAATGACAGAAACAGGCCATCCCCAGTTTTAAATAACAGTCAGCAATTAAAAATAAAATATCGTTTTAGTTTACAGTGTGTTTAACTTTGGCCTTCACCCAAATAACTATGTGTCGCTGACTTAATACTTTTTTAAACAATTAGCTGTATTTTTTGTATCTCAAATGCTCAAATTCCGAATTTCGCACTTCTATTCTTTTTCAACAAAATTTGTAAATTTCATATTTAACTCAAAATTGTCGTCTTGAAAAAAGTATAAAATTATTACTACAGCAGTTCGATTGAGACCCAGATCTAGTGTAGCAAACTGTCTAATTAGGATATGCTTGTCATGATGAAATTAATTCCGAAACATTTTTTTTACCCCTAGTTATTGTTTGTTTGAACTAATTTCGTCATGAAATATAAAAACTATTAGAAATTTCCTTTGCAGACTCTTCAACATGGCTTTCCCCACAAACCGACCTCAATGGCATGGGACCCCACATTGCGTCTGTTGTGTCTCGGTACGGCAACTGGTGCCATTAAGGTATTTGGCAGACCTGGGGTTGAATTTTACGGCCAACATCAAAACCCCATTGCCGTTACCAGATTGGTGTTCCTTCCGTCGAAAGGGCGCATTATCAGTTTGCAAGATGACAATTCGTTGCACTTGTGGGAGGTAAAATTACAAATTTTAGGGGAACTTTTCAGATACACTATTAGACACTCTTCGTAGGTTAATAAAAGCTCGTTGGTGGAAGTTAAATCTCAAGCACTCGAAGGAAAATTGAAAAAAATAAGCACGATGTGTTTGGAGTCTGTAGGCAAACATTTACTGCTTGGTACCGAAGGAGGCAACATATATCTATTAGATCTCGGTACCTTCACTATGACTCCCGATATAATTTATCAGGATGTGGTGATGCAAAAGTTAGTGGGATGTGTATAATCCGTCGCTGGTACTACGTTTGTTTAATTGTAGCGTACCGCAAGACTACAAATTAAACCCTGGAGCTGTGGAATCCATAATCGAACAGCCACAGCAACCCAACAACATCCTCATAGGATACAACAGGGGTTTGATAGTATTGTGGAACAGATCGGACAATGCCGCTTTGAAAACTTTCATTTCCAATCAGCAGTTAGAAAGTTTGTGTTGGAAGAACGAACAGTTCTTTGTCAGTTCGCATAACGACGGTAGCTACATGGAATGGGATGCTAATCAGTCGGAAAATCCGTGCGGTGATCCCGTCACCACTTACGGTCCTTACCCTTGCAGAGCCATTCCCAAAATAATTATTCGAGAGTTGGAGGAGAAGGAGTTGATTGTATTTTCTGGTGGTATGCCCAGATCGAATTATAGCGACAAGTACACCGTGTCAGTTATACATGGGGACAATCACGTGGCGTTGGACTTTACTAGCAAAGTATGTATAAATATTGACTATGTTTTTTTCACATTTATCGATATTTTGAGTGGCGAATTGGAAGGTTACTGATCTACTTTAATACAGCGCAATACAATCACAAATAGAAAAAATAAAAAGGTGCTTTAAAAGCTATTGTGTTTTCCTGCATTTTACTGTGCCAGTAACAAAATAATTTGAAAATTCGATGATTTTGCGTCTCTAAATTAATGCCGTTTTCTGATTTGCTGGCAGATTGCGATAGAGAGTGATAGTGATAGTGAGGATGAACAGTTTGGCAATAAGGTATATTTTGACTTGGGGTTCTGCATGACTAGCTGTTTTATCATTCCTATTTGGTATTCATTTCTAAAATTTTGTAATACGCTTCCATTGAGATGAAAATTTGTCGCATAGGTCCATCTCTTATCATTGTCAGGGTCGAGAAAAAATGTTGTATTTAATAGTAATTATAATTTTTGTGTTCAATCGATATTATAAGAGAAATAAAAGGGGGAATCCAGGAAAATTACGAAATTTAAAGAAATGAAAATTCTTTGTTAAGCTGTGTGCGTTTCAAAACGAATTCTCGTTTGGGAATATTTTATAGTTAAAAACAAAATACGGCTTGTACGGTACTTTGGTTGATTGCGCAGTAAAAAATGTGTACATAGTTGTCCTTTAATCTCATTTACGAAATTCAGCTGCAAGCTTTCTCAAGAAAAGATTAAGCAGACAAGTTTTTCCCGTTTGTTTTGAAACATCCCGTAGGGTTGCTTTTAAGGTATCTGTACTGCATGTAATTAGTGCCGAGATTTTTTTAAAGTAGTAAGAAACGCTAATATGGATGTCAAATTTTCATTATTTCAAAATTGTGTGCAGCATAGGCGATAAAATTCGTAAAATAGATTCTGTTTGTATAAAATGTTGGAGGGTTAATCGTCTGTCCGCAGGTGATTGACTTTGTTGTGGTACACTCGAGAACCACACCAGAACATGAAGAAGAAGAATTGGAGAATCAAGAAAATGAAAACGGTGTTGATGGAAATGCCACCAGAGGTCAACCGGAAGCTTTGATAGTTCTAGCAGAAGAAGAACTGGTTGCTATTGACTTGCTTAGCAAAAACTGGAAGATGTTAAACTTGCCATATTTGGTTGCAATACATTCCTCGGCTGTCACTTGTAGTCAATACGTGTCAGGTTAGAGAGTGTTTTTTAATCAATTGTTTGGAAGTATCGAGCTCCGTTTGCAGCTATTCCCGAAGAGCTTTGGGGCCACTTAAAAGATGCAGGCAGGGCCCAGACCAGTCATCTGTATTCGGATCGGTCCTGGCCCATAGACGGCGGTAAATTGTTGTGTTCGAAGGGCACGAAACCGAAACGGGAGCTTTTGTTAACCGGACACGAAGACGGTACCGTTCGGTTTTGGGATGCGGGTGGTGTGACATTGACGCCAATTTATAAATTTAGTACATCGGCATTTTTCACCGGTGATGATCTAGAAGGTTCGACAATGTTCCCAGCTTATTGGCCATTCTTCAGTAAAATGAATCAATTTTAGAACCACCTCCGAGCCAAGATCCGGAAGACCAACAAGAAGAAGAATGGCCTCCGTTCAGAAAAACGGGCGTCTTTGACCCTTACTCGGATGACCCGCGATTAGCTGTAAAACGCGTCGTGATGTGTCCTTTATCGGGGACCCTGGTTGTGGCCGGTACCGCTGGCCAAGTGATAATCGCTAAATTCGACACCGAAGTTTTGGATGGCCCGCTAAAAGTAGTTACTATGAATATAGTAAACGACGTGGACGGGTTCGTTTGGAAGGGACACAATCAATTGGCACCTAAAACCGGTAATAAACCAATACCGCATCCAAAGGGGACGATAAACAAAACAACATGTCAATGTCGAAATACCGTCTACGACGACTTTACCTATCAAAGTTTTCTATATAGATGGAGCTCTAACAGGTTATGATTGGGGGGAAAATTCATTTAAAAGTTATTCACTTTTAATAGTTGTCTAGTGTATAACCTGAGCTTAGAGCTTAGAAACTTAAAATTAAAATTTTCCAAGTTGCAAACTATTATAGATTATCGAACGATATTCATATTATAAAAAAGAATAAGTGAGGGAAACCTAAACAAACCTAAAAAAATAAAGGGACATGTATTGTTTTGTTGAATTTCTCGTAGATAAGGTATTGAAATCTAGTTTTTACCGGTTCACTGAAAGGCATTGTAAGTTTGGATATGAAATTTTGATTCCCATATTATGTAAAAAATTTCATTTAAATTAATTGATTCCTACGCGTTTACCGCTCATTTAATTATGACGGCTTGTCAGATCTCTTTTGGATATAAGGTGTTTGACCAGAACTCTCAGGTTTTCGTGCGTTTACACCTTTTCAAATTTTAGGTAACGTGCATCAAGTGAGAGGCTTCCAAGCAACCGCTCTCTTACAGCTGCATCCACCGGCGGCGGTAACGGCGTGCGTTTTGCAAGCCGACTGGGGTTTGGTAGCTGCCGGTACTGCCCACGGACTGGCACTTTTAGATTATCTTAAGAACAAACCTATCGTGGTCAAGTGTACACTTAATCCAAATGGTAAGCGTTAAAAATAATAAACGGCCGCCTTTTCAATTTTTTGATTTCTTTATTTTTGTTCTCTCTTCAGATCTCACCGGCCACGGTGACGCGCCGATATCTCGCCGAAAATCGTTCAAAAAGTCACTCAGGGAATCGTTCAGGCGACTTAGAAAAGGTAGATCGACCCGTCGCAACCCCAGCAAGGACGATAAGCAGCCGACCCCGCCCGCGAATTCGCCACCCGCGCGCAAAATTCCCACTTCCGAGGAAGGAGATTTTAATCCATTGGACGCCAAACCGGTCGAGAGGCAGATAGAGGCCCGACCCGCCGACGATTCGATGGGCTCCTTCGTTCGGTGTTTGTATTTCGCCCGGACCTTCCTTATTAACTGTGAGTGACTTCTAGGTTTAATTTTTTGAGTCAAACAAAATTCCTCTTCAGTCTTTGAATTTTTTAAAAATGTATGTGTTCGAAAATTTATTCTCCGATGGTGGCGCTACTAATGCTAAGCATGTGGCCATTTACCTTTGAATGATTTTGGCGATCTCATTCTATCTGCATAAACCACAATAAATCATCGTTTGTGCCTCTGTGGGTTCTGTGGTGTCTCCTCCCTACAATATAAAAAGAAAAGCTGGATGTCCCAAAAGGTTCAAAAGTACAGGCAGTACCTCAGAATTGCAAAATTTTACATGCCTTGGGTCGAAGATAAAATCTACAATCAGGGACTTCTATAAAAGCTATCTACTGAAAATTGAATTTGAAATTTTTTCTGTCGTTTATTAAAAACAAAAGAGAAATCTCAGGTGTACCCAGTTATATGAATTTTAATGACGCTGAGTTACATACTCGAGAAGATATACTCAACTCTTTTGCACTATATTTTCGAGAGTTATTTTCTAAAGGGAGTTCTGTTAACAATTTTGGTATTAGTAATTTACACTACTCTAAAGTAATTAAACTTAAATTTACAATGGGTCCAGATTTAATTCCAGCATTCTTTATACATGACTGTCGTTTTGTTCTGGCTAAACCCCTTGTAATACTTTTTAATATGTATCTGAGAAACCAAGCCGTATATAGAAAATCTCTAAAATTATTCCCGTACACAAAAAAGACTGTAGATCGCAAATCACAAACTATAGGGCTATTGGCCTTATCTGTAATTTCTGCAAAGTTTTAGAATCTCCTATTTCATCCTTACCAATTTAACGACTATGTCTCAGTATGTTTCTGAGGCTATTGATGAAGGTTGTCACATGAACGTCATATATCTTGATTTTTCAAAAGCGTTTGATCGCCTATATCACCATTATTATTCAACGTTTTCGTTAATAACATTGGCAAGGATCTTGATGTCAGTTTTTTGCTATATGCAGACGACGTAATTTTTTTAAAAAATATTCCGTGTTCAGAGGATTGTCTTACTATCCATCATAGTTTGGAGCAAATCAACAATTAGTCCCTAAATAATAACTTAATACAGCCCAGTGCAATGTAGTCTCTTGTGAATTATGACTATCATCTTTTTGATAAATGTAGATTTATCTAAAATTTTGTCAGATTTAACAATTATTACAGTTTGTATAAGCTGTAATGTAATGTAAAGTGTAGGATAAGTTTAAAGAGTTATTTAGTTCCGTCTCTATGGTAAATTTTATACCTTTATGTATGAAGTTAATATGATCCAAAAAGGACTGCAGTCGTTTTTCCCTCCCAGTGAAACAAGCAAAAACATTATCTATACCACTATAGAAATCTTTTACTCAGAGGATGTTTATTATTTATAAATAAATTTATAACCTTGCACCGGTAATTAATAGTATATTATGCAACAAGTGCGGTAAACGGCATTTGACTCACGAGTTTATTTGACACGAGCGGAGCGAGTGTTTAATAAACGAGTGAGTTAAAAAGTTTACCGAACGTGTTGCATACTATACTTTTTCTACGACCGTTAGTTTTTGGATACATTTTCGCAAAACACGAATGCATTCAATGACATGACTGTCAGAATTGACAAACGTCAAAATTCAAAGCGTAGGAAATATCTCCGAAAACATCCGATTGCTCCGAAGTGGCTCGGATCCGTGGGAAACGAAACTGATGTGGTAAAGTGACGCTACCCGCACGCTAGATCGGTGCGTAATTAGGTATTTTACAGAAGGGAGTAGAAAAAAATCTATTACTACCTGTTTACATATATAGGTGTTGGAATAATGTTATATTCTGTATTTGGGAAAAGCACAGTATTGTCAAAACAGTTGTCATAAAGTAAAAAATAACTTTGAAAATCTGAACATATTTTGTTCTAATTAAATTTAACAAATGGATTTTCATCAAGTAAAAGCCACCCCAGTTCAATTCAGGACTAAGAGATATTTAAGTGCTCTTTTAAGAAGCGCAAATTTTCTAAAATAGGACTTTACATCGATAGAAATACCAAGAGAATTTCGAACCTCAATTGTATTTCATTTATATTAGATTACACTTTTCGGGCAAATGTTCCAATGTATCATATAACTCTCTCAAAGCTCTAACGGTAGCCGTCATTAATAGACTTGATAAATTACTATAAAATTGTTTTTTTTAGTTAGACTACTTTAGTCAGTTGTCCAGAACAAAAAAGAATTTTTATTTGAAAATGTAATCCAGAATACCAGAAAACGTTTTGGTTTAGGATAGGGAAGACTATAAGAAGAAAATGAGGGGGGGGTGGGTTCTAGCTGTTTTTCGTTTTTAATTTTCCATATTACAATGCCATTCATTGTAAACAAAAATGTAATCCTCCAGTCGCCGAGTATGAAATAAAATACCCTTATAATATAAAAAATTTCTAGTAATAAGTAATAAGTTCAGAATTTGCTGCTTTGTCCTCTTAGAACACCTCGTATAAATTTAGACCAGATAATTATTGTGCTTCCTACATAATGAACATAGGGTTTTCCATTTTGCATGTTGCTTTTTTTTTCAGTACAAAACACAAATCCCACCTTATGGGCGGGAACCAATAACGGTACCGTCTATGCTTTCACGATAATAGTACCATCTGCATCGAAAAGAGAAACGGACGACGTAACTTGTCACTTGGCGAAAGAAATCCAATTAAAGCACAGGTAATATAAGTTCGAACGCTGCAAGTTAAGCGCCGCTGCGTCATCACCCACCACCCTATATACATTTGACAATGGTGGTCATTTTCTGTACCGTTCCACAAAATATAAATTAACGGCAAAACAAGTTTATGTTAAAAATTCAAATAATGTGGCAGTGGGTTTAAGTGGGGTGATGTAGTGGTGTACAGCGTTTGGACCAGGTCTAAGGATTCCTAAATGGGGTGTGCATAAACAACCGGTTTTAGAGCGCCGGTTATAGGAATTGCCGTGTTGGACGGGTCGAACAAACCACTGCCAGAACCCCTAGAAGTTGAAAAGGGAGTTTCTCCACTTCCGGACACCACTCAAGCCCACAGGGTGGTAATAGCTTCCGAGGAGCAATTTAAAATTTTCACGCTGCCATCTCTTAAGCCTTATTGTAAATATAAACTTACTGCTCACGAAGGTAAGATTCGTAAACGTCCTTGGCAGTCGATTAGATTTTTAACTTGCCCTGACGCGTTTTGGTAGGTGCCAGAGTAAGGAGGATGGCGTTCGCAAATTTCGCTTGCTATTTGGAAGAATTGAAACATTCTGAAGTCGACCTTCTGTGCCTTACGAATATGGGCGATTGTTTAGTACTAACCATTCCGGATTTGAAGCGGCAATTAAACGCCGCGGCGATTAAACGGGAGGATATTAAGTAAGTGTCTTAATTCATTTTTTTAATTAGTAATCTGAATCAATTTTTCAAAGAAACTTCCACAGGCTACTGTAATGCTTTTTACAAAACTTCTAGATTCCTCCTGCGTCGGTTTTTGCTTAGTCGAAATTGCTGACGTTTCGCCAATCATCCTGTTGCCTTCTTCAGAGCTTGACTGAAACTGGCTCGTATTTTACTCTGTATCTGCTTATATATTGCTTGAGGTGGGGGGGAGCTAATCAGGGATATAAACATCTCGAAAGCGAAAAATCCGAGAGTCTATAGAAATCTATAAACAATCAACAATCTTAATCGCGACTCAAGTCTCTACCTGTCCGCAATTTGGGAATCAGTCGTCCGAGACGGAGTATAGCCCTCATTATCCCCCCCCCCCCCCCCCCCAAGCAATATATAAGCAGGTACAGAGTAAAATACGAGCCAGTTTCAGTCGAGATGATTGGCGAAACGTCAGCAATTTCGACTAAGAAAAAACCGACGCAGGAGGAATCCAGAAGTTTTGTAAAAAACAGTAATCTGAGTCATTGTTAGTATTTAATGGGTGGACATCTTCATGCTTGTTTTATATTTAAAACAACAACTTTACAGTTTCTTAAACATATAATCTTCGCGCTAAATAATTATAGGTTATAACATTGGCCTTATTGGTTAAAAGCTACTTTTAAAAGGATTTATTTATTTAAAATGAATATTTTTTTTATATTGGTTTCAACAGTTTTATGCCTGTATTCTTAGCATAGGCAAGAGATCTGTTCAGGGTGTCACGATATTAGACGTCAATATTTTTACCACTGAGGTAAAGTGGTCTGCTTTTAAAATGATTTATTTATTTAAAATGAATATTTTTTTATATTATTTTCAACAGTTTTATGTCTATATTCTCAGCATAGGCAAGAAATTTGTTCAGTGTATCACGATATTAGACGTCATGTTTACCACTGATTCTCCGCAATAGAAAAGAAATAAAAGTTCTTATTAAGTATGACCCACAAGCTTACCAGGTGTCAACCATGTTTCGTCTCCTTAATAAAATAACCCTTTATATATTCGGTACTTGAGGTGTTACCGTTGATTGATGACCCATTATTATCGTAAACAACTCTTTAATTTGACATATCCTCTCTCTATCAAACAACCGGCTGGAGTAATTTGTATATAGAATGAGCTTTTGTTGTATGGGCCGTAGGATTTGTATTTGCCGACAGTTTATTTAGACTTCAAATGTATTTTTTCAGCGGTATATCTTCCTTGGTCTTCACAAGGGACGCTCAAGCGTTGTATCTCCATTCCTCCTCTGAAATTCAAAGGATATCTCTGTCGACGACCGCCGTCACTTCCGCTAGATGTTACTTACCATTGCCGGTCGGTGCGCGAGAAGACACCGCGTCGGAAGGACGTAGCGAGCATGAAATAAACACGGAGGAAGCTAGCGAAGTCGTCGCGAATGGCGGCGTCGAAAATAAGGAAAACGGTCCGATAGAAAAGGTACTAAAATGAAGAAATGCCGGCAGAAATTTGAAATTTAAATTTTTGTGCATTTTAGATTGAAGAGGGGCGGGAGAATGGTGAAGACACGCCCCACAACGTAACGGTGTCGAGTAGCGTGGGCGATATAACGATAGATAGCGTAAAGGATCATTTGGGCACTTCAGGTGAGGAATTAAGTAGGCGATTGACTACAGGTTTGCACGTGACGAAAACAGTTACGACAATCATCAGTAGTAATAGTCAGGGCGAGGTTTCCAGCAGCACAGTCACAGAACGGACAGTGACAAATGCTGAGCAGGAGAACAGTGAGTTATGACCAGTTTTCCGTGCTTTGGAAATTTTTCTGTGTGGGGGAATTGCTTGGAACTGTATTGGCTTTCAGTTTTTGGTGGTAGTTCAAAGCTACCGCTCGGTAATTCTATGGTGGGGTATTGCAGACTCGGTTCCAGGTAGTTTTCTGCTTTATGTTTGGTCTTCGCTTTGCACAATTATTTTTCTGTATATAGCAATATAAACGTCAGTTTTCAAAATTAAATGCTGTTAACTTACTTCACTGTGTCTGTTTAGTCGAATGATCAAAATTTTAGCCTTCAATTTATTGTAACACAATATGTTTAAGAATTTTTGGTTCTTTGTCTCTGTCTCTCAGGCAATACAATTTTTCATTAAGCAGCCCTTTATACATTTGTCTAACATACAAGGCAGAGTGTTTTGCAAAGTACTTTATCCAGAACTGGAGCAGCAGTATGAAGTTGTATGAAATGAATGAATAATTTTAATTTTATTTTCATCGACATTGCCTACACGTTTTTAATTTGGAATTGTTATTTATTTCTTGTTGCAGTCTTATTTTTGTTGCTTTAAGTGTTGTTGATTTTGTTTTCGCTTCGTAGTTGTAGAGAATCACAGCCCTGGGACTGGAACAAGTTTGGAGGTTAGATATTATGTATAAATATTTTGATCGTAAGAAATGTCTTCCTTATTTATTTCATTAGAGACCATCACGTGAATGATTTAAACTTCTTTGCTCTCAGTATTTGTTGTAATTTGTTGAGTTCCCGTGATGATTTTCTAATTATCACTTCGAAAAGATTTTTGTAAGAAATGTGCACGCGTTTCAAATTGATCTTTTTATAAGTAGCAAATTTAACATTTGGGTCTAAGGTTGCAGAAAATTACTTATTAAATTAAGCGAAGGATGGGGGGTATCTATTAATTACGAATTTTATGTAATGTCCCTGGTATAACATGACATATTTTCAGCACCCTTCCCCCTCCTCCAAAAATAAAAATACATTTCGGAGCATTTTATTGGTCTATTCCATTCTCCTTAATGTGTGAAGTAATTTAAGGGAGGACGCTTCACATAACTTTAGCACCATTTTCTCACTGCTTAGGTAGAGGTATCCACTTTTATTTACCAACTAAAACACTTAGATCACTTTGTAATGTATTTCTTAATTTTTTAAAATTCATCTTTATTTACTTGTCAATTATTCTTTCTCTCTTTTGACCCATACTTTCTTGATTTTCCTTAGGGAAACTAAATATTATTAAACAATTACGTTTTACATCATTGTTATATCGGTTTACTACATAGACTTGGTATTTGCAGACTAAAAAAATCCACGCTAGTGAAGTATTGTTGCGTGCGCCATTGGCATTGGCCGAAGAAGACACAGATTGCAACCACACCAGTGATGAGTAACAATAAATTTGCCATATCTGAACGTGATCAGTATTTCGCGTTAGCTCCTTACTTTCAGTTGACTCACGCAAAACTCTCGCATCTATCTTTTTGTAAATAATATTCCCCGAAGTATTGTTAATGTACTTAGTTAAGCGTAAGCAAATCGGGACCATTCATATTTTTGTAAACCTTTTTGTATCAGTTAATTCGAAATACTGTTCAGTTTGTGTTTAACTGTAGTCGGTAAATATATTTTTATTGTAGTTGAAACTAAGTCTTCACACTGGGTTTGTGTATAATAGGAATTTGTACCTCTTGAATAGGAAACACTACATTAATGCAGAAATTGCTTTTTCATGTAGTGATAAACAAGAAACTAAGATGCATTTGCGGCACAATAAAAATTGTTATACTATAAAGTAAGAGGTTTTTCTGAACACATTTATATTTATATTTCCACAGTGTTTCGCTGATTTTTTTTTAAATTATTATTTTTTTTATCCATTTTTATTGTTAGTGTTAGTTTAAATCCAGATTTTGTATTTTCCATGATTTGTTAAAATTTAGGACAAATGAATGTTATTTTATTCTAAGTGCAGCTTCTTTTATACAAAAAAAAATGGTGGAGGTTACATACATGAGAAGCGGAATGAGTGTGTGCTAGTATGAAGTTCCTTTGAATTATCAATGAAGAACTTACGGCCTTAATTTTGTTAATATTTTATATTGGTATTTTATTCGCATTTTATTAAGAATTGTAATATTTATGATTTCACATGACAGAAACATCACTATAGTGAATAAAACGTTTTATTGGTTTTTCATAGTTTGTTTTATTTTTGAACTGAATCGTCCTTATTCCTTTACTTTCTTTCCTATATTTCTTTTACACCCTAGATATGTTAATAAAACTTTCGAAATTGCTGACTCTTCCTTAGTTACAGTTTTGGTGTTTCTGGAGCTTAGTTTCCAAAAAATATATAACCGTTTTATGACTAAAATTAAAGGCACAAATTAAATAAGCTAAGGCTTGTCATAAACAAAAAAGAAATAACATTTCTCACTAATTATAAAAGAACTTATTTTGGCCCGCCAAAATTATATAGGTACCAGATATATGGAGGCCTATCAGTGCTGATAATACAGGAATTTTTGAACCAGAAACATTGACATTTGTCACTAAGACCTAGCGGTGTTTAAGAATCAATATGGCCGCTGACAGTTTTTCAATTCGGCAGTTTTTAGGTTAGATGTTGCATCTTTGCGAGTTAAGTGTTTGGAGATCGCTGTATAACAAGAAAATCGCGCAAAGTAGAGGTTAATGGATGAAATTTGGAGGCAGATTCCCAGACAGATCAGAAATAAATAAATCTGTACAAAAATTTCAAAAACTTAGAACAATTAATAATTAGCAAGTTTCTGTGCATGATCTTTTTGAAAAAAAAAAATAAAACAAATAATTTTATTTACGTTAATCTGAGGACGTCGACACAGACCAATAATTAATTTCGTTCTTGTTAAACGGTAGTAGTCTTGTTTTTGGAATGGTTTAGCCAAAGCAGTAAACCGTTGTCGTTTTGGCCAAACGAAAACGGAAATTTGAAAACATTTTTTTATAATTACGATTTTATGAAAATCTCTCTAGATGAAAGTATGAATTGACATTCAAATTGTGTTAGTAAAATAAGTTGCAATAAAATGTTCATTCGGCGTAGCAACTTCAGAAATGTGACAACGCCGCGCAAATTGTTCATTTATCTCGTCGTCTGTGCAGCGCAGTGTGGTGTGTCACTTTGCCAATATGAAAACAAGTTGGTGTTTTCGATGTAATTGCGTTTAATTTAGCGACTTTGCCTGTGATATTTTGAAGAAACTAAAACGTGCTTTTTAAGACGCGGTCGCGTATCCTCCGGAAAAATAAAGTCCGTATTGTTACGTTAACGTCAAATTTCCAATATTTGGCTAATGTAATATGGCCGCCTGAAGGAACTTCATTCATGTATTTCATTATATGAAATTTATTTTTTACAAAGGAATGGAGTTACGAGTTGGTAATAAATATAGGTTAGGCCGTAAGATAGGATCTGGCTCTTTCGGAGACATTTATTTAGGTAGGTAGTGTATTTAATAAGTATTTTTTATTTTGGTAAACAAAAGATTTTTTTTAAAAAGGCTCGATTCGGATCTTTGATAACAGATGCAAAGGTGAACCTCATTTTTTTTGCTTGTTGTTTTGCGCCTAAAGAAAACCTTAATAACACAATCGGTTTTATAGTGTTGTGTGTACATGTTTCGTGATAAGAAATCATTGGTCAGTTTAAATTTTTTGCTGAATCAACAATATTAAACAAATTTTGCAGCGATTTGTTTTTTTTTTGTTCACGTCTTTTTCGTTTAAATATGAGTACTAAAAAAGGCTTAACTTAGCAGATATTTGAGTCTGTATTACATATGTTAATTAATATAAATGGCTCAATAGTCTTATGATTTTTTTTTTGTTCCAGGAACAAACATTTCTACGGGAGAGGAAGTAGCTATAAAATTAGAATGTATAAAAACGAGGCATCCCCAGCTTCACATAGAATCAAAATTTTATCGGATGATGCAGGGTGGAGGTAAGTTTTGTCATATATTTATTACATTTAGGTGCACAACCTCAATAGGCATCATATGGAAGGCGTCTTTTTCTTTCATTGTATTGTTTTTTGTGTCGTTATCAAGGATGCCTTACTTTCTATTAGCAATATATATATATATATATATATATATATATATATATATATATATATATATATATATATATATATATATATATAATTTTTTGCTAATATATATACACAATTGGCAAGTGGTAACTATACATTTTTTTCTGCTTAGCAGTGGCTTTTAAGTGCCCACGGAATTAGTAAGGTTTATGGTAGTTGAAGGTGTTCCAATTGACAAAGGTGATACTTACACTGAACGAAATGAGTTAATGTTGAGCTTGATCTACTACTGTAAAGAATCTTTGAATATTGTCTCTGTTCTTCGTTCCTGACCGGTTATGGTTTATAACCCTCAGGACGGTGCTGACGCTTGTCCCCTCAACCCGTCGTAACTACTAACCACTATAATAGCTTACTACTGTAACAGCCTTTTTGCCAGCGACAAAGTAAAAAAAAACAGAAAATTGAAGGCGATAGCCTACCATCCTATGCTTCTTAATTTTCTTGTCGAGTTTCTTTGCCATATTCCAATGAAGTACATTCGATGGCTGACTAAAGCGCGGCAAATTATCGCTTCCTCGATATCCAAAGAATGACCGTGTGCTGTTCTATAAATAATAACGCGGAATAATCGGACTGAACAACAAAAGTGCGCAAATGTAATTGTGCGGCTCTTGCCTTATTCGCCACACCGTGGTTGCTTTGCCTTTCGCGTTGGTTTTGCCTCAGTGTATTAACTTGGCACGGGCGTGCCTGCGTTTCAAAATTCATTCTAAGAGTTTTCGTAATTTTTGTTTTATAAGAGTCAGGTTTAATAGAAAGGTCATTGATTCCTTTATGTCTTTTAAAACCTCGTTAATTCGTTGTTTTCAAACTTTAAACAAAGGAAGAAGCAATGACGAACTTATAATTATCATGCTGATAATTCAACGTTTTTTTTGAAAAAAAAAAAAGAAAGTCAAAAAACCAAAAAAGGAAGTACTAGCAATATGCCAGAATCCAAAAATTCAGAATTATAGTTTTTTTCTATTCCCGGAAAGTTCTATGACCACTTACTATCGTAAAATTGTGCTGAGTTATTTAATTTATCAAAGAAACGTATCGTGCTTCATGAGTGACTTAAACAAATGTATTAGAAATTGTACTACATTACTAGATATTAAACCCGTTTTCTACAAAAATTTCGTTCATATTTCTTTGGGATACTTTGTAATAGTACTGCCGCATTCAAAGTTATTGACGATCTGTCAGCGGCCACGTTAGTTGTTGAATGTCGCAAGCTCATTGGTTAAAAACAAGATTTTAAATCTTGCGCTTACGCATGTTGAATGAACCTTCTAAATTTTTGTTTTCATAGGTGCTTCATAAGTTCCTGTTTTATGAGCATAGGCAGAGGCTCTAGTTAGATAGCCATAGTTTTGGTTAGTTTTATGGTTATAACTATAACTCCAATTTGGAGTTTTCTTTAAAATGCCAAGACTTAGTAACAAGTGAACCAGGCCTACAACGCATATGCATTGTTGACGGTCACGTCAATCAACCAGGCAAATTCGAGTGTAGTTTCCGGCGGTCTCCAGTTGTTTTTGCTTCGAATACAACTGGTTATTTCCTTTAAGTGATTTTTAACTGACGTTCGTAGAAATGTTCATATTCTTTTCATTTTAAAGTGCCCTACCTGTGTGGCAAAATCGAAACAAAAAGATAGCAACAGTGCAGAGTCGTAAAATTTAATTCGTCTTTTCAATTGAAACGTATACTTCCACCATGCCGTTTTATCAATACAATCAGCCTATTGTTATAAGTCACATTTCCAGTACTTTAGACAACGAAGTAATAAATGTTCAGCGGGCTTTTATGCGAACATAAGAAAATAAGTGCCGTTGCTCGGGTAACGTTTATACCCGACTATACCATTCAAATAGTGATATACCCGGTTATTAAAATTCGCGTTACTTACTGAACAGTGCTTCACAGAAAATCGTTAATGGAGTGGTGCAAAATTAAATTCGAGGGCTGTGCTCTAACCATATTTGTGTAGTTATTGCCTAGGTTGATTTGTTTTACACCAAGTGAATAACAACCCACTTGGGGTGCCCTCAGACACCGACGACCGACCTTTTACATTACCCTCTGACATTAACTAATGCCCAAGGATGTGGCTGAGGTGCGATTTCGGATGGCCGCACCGATAATTTGCAAAAAATAAATCGTAGACAGAGAGAGGTCGAGGAATATTATCCAAGCAGCTATTCATAAATTCACGTTCTCTGTGCAATTGACAACCTTTTTTAACCTAAGCAGACGTATGGCGTTACCGCTATACCGATCTCATTCAGTTTATCGCAGCTACATCGGATACAGTGGCGTTGTATGCAAACGCCGTCAACATACATTTATCTATGCAAAGCCCTAACTGTAAAATGAAAAACCAGTTGCCTTTTGACTATCGAATATGTTCGGAAAGGGACAAGTATGAGTATTTGTTTATTTCGTAAATCATTAAAATAAGTAACGATTATCACAGATATGGTGCAAAAAGTTCATAATTTTACTTTGTTAATATCCCTGGCAATTAAACTAGGCTTTTTGACACTTTTCCATGTCTTGAGAATTTCGTTTTGATTTATCTAACTTTTTATTTTTTCTTCTTCATTTTCTGCCTTTTTCAATTATCTGCAATAGCTTCGGATAATGTCGCCAACTGACAATACTGTTATCACTGTTTTAGCACTCCTTGTCATACTCTAGATTCTAAATATGTTTATTCCTTGTCTGCACGATTTTTCTCTAGATTATCTTGCTTTCTCATTTTTAGTGTTCTCTTCATCTTTTCTGTTATCACCACAGTTCCTATGCTCTTCAGCTATTTAAATATCAAATTGCTTCCGTTTTGTAAAATTTCATAGTTAGTCATTATTAGTTTCTGATTTTCTGCCTAAGTACGAAACAATTTTGAATTTCTACAGGTAAACCACAAGCTAGTTGGTATTATAATTATTTTCATTGGTTGTTTTTAGAAGTTTCAACTTTTATTACATAATAAACAGTCATGTTTTCTGTATTCTTATGGTAATTGGACGTTTTAGTTCAATCGGTTGAGTATAATAAAATAGTTTGAGCTACGTACTTATCCAGTGTTAGTGTACCTGAAGCAACGTTCCTGGTTGAAAATAAAAATACCAGAATAAAGGGAATTTTGTGCCGGAATTTAGGTATAAACCCTACCTGCGACCCTTTTTTAATGTTGCGCCGCTACCCAGGTATTCGGAATTCATCCCCGCGAATAAATCACAAACCGGCACTTGCTAAAATGGAATCGAATATAAGGAAAATCCTGCATGTATAAAAATTAAAAATCCGAGAAAAAGTTATGCTTATTGTTTGATGTGTTGAATTCATGAGAATACGATTTTTTTTTGTTTGCGAACGAAATGTAACGAAAATATGTAAAATAAAAATAATTAATTTTTTTTTTGTCGAGGTATTATTTTTACTTGAAAATTGCTAATTTGACTTCATAATTTTTCCGAGGGATTCTGGTTTTCAACAGCTGTAAATCAACGAGCGATATTCATATTTGCAGTTGGCATCCCCCAGATTAAATGGTGCGGGAGCGAAGGCGACTACAACGTCATGGTAATGGAACTCCTCGGTCCGTCCCTGGAGGACCTGTTCAACTTTTGTTCGCGACGGTTTACGTTGAAAACGGTCCTGCTCTTGGCGGATCAGCTGATATCGCGAACGGATTTTATCCATTCGCGGAACTTCATCCACAGAGACATCAAGCCCGACAATTTTCTCATGGGATTGGGAAAAAAGGGCAACCTAGTCTATATTATAGACTTCGGATTAGCAAAAAAGTACAGAGACGGACGCACCCACTTGCATATACCGTATAAAGAAAACAAAAACCTTACCGGTAAGTGCTCGTAAATACCCTTAATTGGAACGCCATTGTGTAAATTTTAAAATTTCTTCCTCAATTGGACGGACGTGTGCCCAGGTATATTATTTTTCCGACGTCGACACGTGATTCGCGCGGGATAAATTCGTTCTTCCCGGAAAAGCTGGCAATTTGTGCACAGAGTTCCGGGGAACTTGTGCTGTTGACTGGTTGGCAATTAATTTCTCCCAAACGCTGGGGCGGCGTTTTGCAGAAATTTTCTGCGAAACGGTTTACGTTGGAAGTGTAGGTACCGCATACTTTTCCGGAACTCATATATTATTATACTTCAATTTTCGGAAGTTTAAAGCGTTTAACCTTTTTTTATTTCACTTTCTGAAAGGAATTTCGAACCGATACTCGGACACCACTTGTATAATTGTAGAAATTGATTATCTATGAAAACTCAATCTACTTTACATCAAATTTGAATTTAATATCCGTTTTGAAATTATTGGATTGTTATTTCAACATTGCTTAAGCTGGAGCTCGAACTGTGAAACGAATGTAATTTTTTTGTTGTTGAAAATTTAAGTTCGCGCATGGGATTTCCGTTTTTTTCCGTTTTCTTATGTTAATCTCTTTTAAATTCTAATAATTTTGTGGTTTTTTTCAAATTTGGCAAGCCGGAAAGTATGCTTTGTAGAACATCAGAAACCCACATACATTTATGATAGGTTGGGTCACTAGCGTCTTCTACTTTTCAGTTAAAACACTTTTTAACAAGTTATTAATATAGAACTATTAAACAATTCGCCTATGCTCAATTTTAATTCCCAAATTAGTTTATAAACCGTTAGGGTTTCTGTGTTGGAACAAACCTAATATTTTTTGCTAAATTTGTCACGTGGCGGGGGATAATGGATAATAAACACGTGCCTCCTTCTAAATCTCATTGTAAAACAGTCGTTATACATAGATATATATTATGTAAAGCTTTATTCTTGTATACTTATATAACAGCTTCATTGTTTATCGTTTAGCTAGGTACACGAGTTAATTAATTGTTTATTGAAATGTTTCCATAACTGAGGCCGTGCATTGGAATAACCGGGACAGGCCAATACAATGTTGCGCCCGTTTAGTGTTTTTATGTATTTAATTAGTTAGTTTTGGTTCCAGTGTGTTTTCTAGAATCGTTGAAAAAAAAAACATTTTAATTCAATTCTAAGCCTTTATTGTTATATTTCAATTATGATGAGGATGTAATTTAAGAGGGGGAGTGAGAGAGAGTGGGAGGGGGAGGGAGGTGGCGAGGGAGAGGGGCGAGTGAGAGGGGGAGGGCTGAGGAGGAGGGAGGGGGATGAGAGAGAGAGGGGAGAGAGAGAGAGATTATTTCGATTATGAAAAAATATCTTTTTATAGCGTAATTCTGTAGCGGATATTGAACTCCAAAATAAAGAAGGAAATCGATTAATACAATCTAGGTGTCTTGTTTGGGAATTTTCCTGGGCTTTTGGATGTTGCACCAAACCATTAGGCCAAATAAGCTGTAATGTTATGATGTTTTTTTCTAGACCATTTTCTTATTTTTAATCGGATACAAAAACTTAACCGGCAGTAAATTTGCCACTTTCTTTACAATTTTAGCTTGAAAAATATATGTTACGGCTGAAGTGTCACCTCGGCTAGCTCAGAGACTAGCTGGATACTACACAAACTATTCAAATGACTAGAATAGCTGCGGATATTCGTTGGTTAGTATAGACGCGACAGGCACTCTACTCAAGCTCCTAGCTGATCGAAAACACTATTTTGTAGGACATCGGATTTCCATCGATGCTTACTCATCGACAGTAGCAGGTCACCACAGTTTGTATACTATCTAAATAGTTTACAAACTATACAATATTTCCCGCCAAATTGCAAACCACAAGGAAAGTATACAAATTAACGAGGGTTTTTGGCTTGCGAAGATAACGTGCGAAGTGAATATTTCTACTAAGTCATAACTAAGTCAGCGGTTAGTACGTGATATAGCCAATCCCGTTTGGTTAATTTATTTCAGGATAGTAAAATAATTTTTGATTGATTCATTTTTTATTGACCAGATTCTAGTAAACGATAGCAACAGGCAACACTAAATATAACCTCGCTTGTTTAATTAGTTATAGTATATATTAATTAGTATGTATTACTAGGAATATTAAGTTAAAATTTTATCCAGTTTCTGTGGAGAGCTCGTAAACAAAAACACCGGTTGGATTGTAAACTTTTCTTGTGGTTGATACATTGGCGGTACATCTTGTAAGTTCGTTAATTAACTGGATAGTATATAAGCCGTAGTTATTATCCAAGCATGGACGTGTTTATTTATTATAACAAGTTTAGGGTACCTTGACGAACTAACGTCACAATTTACAAAGGTACACTAAAATAAGTACATTTATCTTAATTTAAAAGAGTAAGCAAAACTATTTCTAGATCCGAAAAATAAATGTCATTATTATACATGTAGTTTTGGATTGTTGGTTTTGTGTCACATAAGGAAGGGGTTTTAGTCAACTGTCTACTGTGATAACTTGCATTGTTCATTACAATGACGCTATTAGGAGGAATGTTTGGAACTAGTTTGTTTTTAAACTAACTTTCAAATAAATCTGCGGTGGTGTCTTGATTGCAATCCAGAGAAAAATCTTTAATATTTTTCGCAGGCAGAGAAAGTCCATTTGGAATCCAACCATCTATAGAGTCAGCATGCAAAATAGTTATTCTTTTACCTCTTTTTGATGGCGCGTTTGTTTTACACTTATCAGTTGAGTCAACCCAACCCTTTTCCGGGGTATCGTAAGTGTCGAACCAGGTTTAATCCAATTAAATAATTGGCCTTTGTTGTTCTCTGTAAATCCTATATTTCTCTAGATATTCCGGTCGACATTTCCGAATTCCAAAAGATTCCATTAAAACTTGGCTTTTGTCAATTTTTTTAAATCTAAAACCCATGTGTTGACTACACTTCCGTAAGGTAGTTCTGCCACTTTTAATACCGGTTTCTTCTTTTTCAACATACGCTGTATTACACACGAAATAAGAATGATTACTAATAAACTTAAACTAAGTAGTATACCAAACCAAAGAATATTAAACACAGGTAGGTATAAAATTATTTTCTATTACGGACCACAATTTTACCTGAATTTAAATTCCGAAACTTTAGGTAATAATCTTGCTACATTGTATGTCAATGACCACCCTTGGATAATCCCATTCAAAAGCAATTGGTCACTTTCTTATACCTATGAACAGACCATACCTAAGTTTAAAAATAACTCCTGTTATAATTGCCTCAAGCACATTTTGCCGCGAATAGAAAGAATTGATATTGGTTGGTAGTTTGTGATATCAATCTTACTGCCACTCTTATGAACAGATACTACTTTGGCACATAGATTTAAAAAAGATCGGGGGCAATTTGTCTGGCCCACTGCCCTTATTTATATCTAGTTTGTTTAACTCAGTTGTATTCAAAAATGGAGTTTAAAGTAACTGTGTCTCATAGCGTATCCAATAACGGAAATTTGCAGGAGTTGTTTCTGGCTCATAAACACTAGAAAAAAAACAGAAAACGCTTCACAGATGTCCGCGTCCGTATTATAAGTGCTTTTCTCATACGTGACAGACTTTGGCACGTTCACTACTTTCGTCTTATTACTTAAAAACTCCAAAATGATTTTAAGTTTTTTTTAAAGATTATTTTTTGTATTTTTGACGTAATTTTTATAGTTCAAACTTATCGCTGCCCTAACTCCTGCTCCCGAACGTGAAGGTTCAACACCTGGAAAACGTTTGTGTGATCGGCCAAATTTATTCCCCTGATTCGGGGTTAACATTCTCGAAACAGAATGATGCGCATTTCTTTTATTAATATTCCGCAAGTGTCATTCGACCGATACGCGAATTCCTGACGATTCGGCGTCCTTCCCGAAAAGCTGGAATTTTTCAGCGGATTTGCCTTGACCGTTTTATCATTTATACGCGCCAAAATATTCAACCTTGAATCGCGGACCTCTTAAATTTTATCACAAAAATCGAACGAATTTATTAATAAAGCTACCGGCGAATAAACCATAAATATTTATATTTCGGCAAATTCGAAGTACAAATTTGTACAGTGCGCCAACCTGCTACGCTAAGTTTGTGTCGTAACAGTCTTCTGAATATCGCAACGATAAATAATTATTGTTAACTTTAGTAATTGTTGCGCTTTGCGCTAAAGGTCTCGAAATTAATTAGCGATAAAGTAATAGGTTACAAGATCTTTAAAGTTGGGAGGATATACTGCTTGCCTGGCAACCGTAATCGAATGTCAGGATTATTTTGATTTAGTTAATGCTCGCAGAGAAATTTATTTATATTTACCGCATCGATGCAGGCAATATTAACGAAGGCTCCTATGCTCCTGTGGAAGTTGTGAATGAAAATCCAGTCATAGCCCTTACAATAGATAGTGTTTGTGGTTGGGTTTTAATGAAACTTTTGAGATCTTTTACTGATCATTTTCGACGCTTATGCTTTTAAGTCAATTTAGTATTTTGTCAACCCTCCATTCAATCTAGTGTAGGCAATGAAAGCTCGGTGTCGTATCATTGTGTATAACACAACAGTGTTAATACTTAAAATAAATAAAAATAGTATATTATGCAACAAGTTTGCATACTTTTTCTGTGACCATTGGTTAGTTTGACTTGCGACAAGTTTAACGAAGGTTCTATATTTTTGTATTTTGTTTCTTTTCTATACTCACTCTTCTTTCCATTTTTGTTTTTTTTTGTATCTTCTTTTGCAAAACCAAACATCTATTCTATAAGAAAATATACACAATTTAGCGGATGTCTTTGTAGGTATGTTTCTTTCGCTGGTGACGAATATTAAATACGCCTTGCCTTATACGTGCGGACTTTACACATATTCCGCACAAAATTTTGTAACTCGAACAAACAATTGTTGACGGGGTTGTCGTGGTAACCGGAAAAGGGGTTCCGTCGCCTAGGTTACCGCAACGAATGCGTAAACAAAACGGCCTGTCGTCAGCAACACGTAACTATTGTTCGAAATAAGGATGGGGTAATGTTTTGCGTATATACGTCACACGGTAATACGCGGGCTTCATAACCACTAGGAATGTTTACCTACCATTGATAATATTATCGTCAAGCGTAGAATGGTTAACAAAGAATGGCGTCGAAGTCGATAGAGCAATGACACGAATATAAATTAGTTATTTCTATTTTAAAGTACATTTTATCGTTATTAGGGATATTTTTGGGTAATAAAAATAGTACCAGCTAATGTATTTGTTTATTCCACTGTCAAGTTTAACAATTATCGAATTTCTATACAAAGCAATGCTTACAATTCGTGAACAATATCAGTATACATAGTATATGTTTGTGGTTCTTGACATGTAAGGGTGTTTTGTTTTTTATATTAAATTGCGTTATGGAAACTAAAAAAAGATTCGAACTTTAATACGTCTCGAATACATTTGTGTAAATAAATAATTATAATTATAATTGATCAGCTTTCATTTTCAGCTTTATTGTTTTTTTTTAAGAAAAAGGTATTACTCGTTGACATATAAAAAATATGAAAACTAGTTTAAAAAATACGTCAAAGGGAGACAAACCGAACGCGCTTTCTTTTTTGGATAATCGGTACATTGTCGAAGATGAGGAAGTGTCAATGGCCCATAAGGTTCCAGCTATAAAAAAATTACGGACTTTGGTCTTTATCGCACCCATCTATATCTATGTCTACCCAGTGATTACGCTGAAACCGGTTGGTTCTATAAATAACGAACTCCGCCATATAACTTAAATAAAAATAGTGTCAGTATTAATGCGGATTTATTTACCAAATTTACAAAATATGATTTTTTGAATTGTACAGTGTGTCCCAGTTTTGATGGTTTAACAGAATACCCTTATTATTAAAACAAGCATGTTGTGTGTAACCCAGACAGAAATGTTATAGCTGTCTAAAAAATTTTGGAAATTTCACATTTATCGACATCCTTTCTAGCTCGGTGGTGCGGTCACTTATCGGAAAGGTGAAAACTGGTGAAAAAACGTAGTCTTGGGTTACGCTAGCATTAATAATAATGGAGGTACACCGTAAAACCTTACAAATGCCATACACATACACACATACATGTAAAATAATATTAATGTTTATTCTACAGAGTGCTTCAAAAAAGGTAAATAGTGCAATACGTATAAATAAAAAAACTAAGTCGCAAATAATAATACTATTTTTAAATCGAACCGCTTTTAATATGCTTTCAAAATTCATGTTTTTTTTATCGCATTTAAATAATAACAAGTTGAATTCGAACAAATGATCTTCTGAATTTCATTTGTTTGTTTTTTCTGTGTTGCAGGTACTGCAAGATACGCCAGTATAAACACCCACTTAGGAATAGAACAGTCGAGGCGAGACGACTTAGAATCTTTAGGTTATGTTTTAATGTATTTTAATAGGGGCTCGTTGCCTTGGCAAGGCCTGAAGGCGGCTACTAAGCGTCAAAAATACGAACGCATCTCGGAAAAAAAAATGTCCACTCCCATAGACGAATTATGTAAAGTGAGTTTGCCGATGTTACAAGATTCTAACGGCTCCCCCCACTCGCTCTTATTAAAAATAGTATCAACTGTTTACAGGGTGCAAAAACAGTTAGTGTGTCAATTATGCTATTTTTATCTATTGGATCCTTATTTTTTTTTTAATTTTTAATTAGCGAGAGAAAAACAATCGGCGTGTGGCGGCATACACTGTATTTTTCTTATTTTCATTTGATGTTCGTGTTATTTGTTATGATGGTGGAGGCAGTCGCTGGAATCTTGAGCCAATGTTTAATGTCCATATCCATGTCATGTTACGTAATGTTTTTTTTATGTTGCAGGGCTACCCTATAGAATTTCCTACGTACCTAAATTATTGTAGACAACTAAGGTTCGAAGAGAGACCCGATTATAGTTACCTAAGACAGTTGTTCAGGACTTTGTTTCATCGGCAAGGATTTACATACGATTATGTGTTCGATTGGAATATGCTTAAGTTTGGTAAGTATAGTAACAATATCCATGCGCAAGTTTGTGTGTTGGTACATATTTCGAAAGTTAGTGATTCAAAAATGTTATTAATTTTTCTCTCGCGATAGATCAGAATTGAAAAACAGTTTTTATATTCGTCGATTTACAGCGGCCTTTTCAAATGTTAATATGCCTTTTAACAAATTATTTAGTTATGTGGTAATAAATTTAAATGGTTGAATTTTGTTTTACATAACAGAAATCATGCGGTTCCCCAATAGAGCTTGTTTATTGCATTTACTAATTACAATTTCGTTTCCATGTAAGCTTATGGCCAGAATAACAACCTAACTTTGGTTGCCAATTAGTTACTGGTGTTTTCTTGTAAGGACTTAAATAAAAGTGTTTTAGTCGAGCTGGGGAGTAAGTGCATTTATCATTATAGTATAGTTAAATTTCTAGGTGTTTATAACGTTCTACCTATTGGTAAGTAATTTGAAGGTTACGAAAATTGGTTTCTATAGATTTTTTGCGTTTATATCAGTTCATGTCTGAATTACAGAATTGTATGTTGGGGTAATCTATTTTATTTTTCTTGTCAACTGTCAATAATGTCTCTTCCAAGTCTTTTTATTTTTAACTGTGGAGCCACTTTGGAATTCCAACCTATATAATTAATTAAGACCCTAATTTTCCTAGTCATTAGTTTGGCTACTTTAATGGGGTTGCACTGTACAAATAAATTTAAATATCTGGTAAAAGATAGTTTCGTGTGTTGCATAGCTTAATTGAGTTTTTTTGACAGTGGCAATAGTTTATTGTGATAATTTTTGTATTTGTATTTTTGCAGATATATATTTAATGTAGGTATATATTTAATTTGTTTTGTTTTAATTTTGACAGTATCGGACACAAGTCCAAAAAAAAAAAGTAAAGAAAAATTGATTTGGGATTTATGACCTGGCGCGCGATCTGTTGGATCTAACCGCAAGGCAGAAGGTGGTTCTTATTTTATGTGATAATAACTTCCATTTGAATAGAGCAGTACCGTTTCTGAACGTTTCCTTAACAATTATGCCCATTTAATGGCGCTGGTGCCCCCTTTAATTTTAACCTCTTCTTTGTAGGTGGATCAAGGGGTAGCCATTGCGAAGAAAATAGTGGTCGGTCCGGAGGCAGATACGCGGGTCACGCGACAGGCAACGCGGACTCGTCTCCCGCAGTCCTAACGCAGCAGCAACATCAGCAGCAGTCTCGGACCAGGAGGACCCCACACGACACTCGGATGGACATAGTGTCGGGAGTGGCCGGAGGAAATTCGGCGGTTCCCAATCCTATAGACGACGTTATTACTAGCAGTAAGCGCGAGACAAATCAAATTTCTTTGAGACCTCAAATTATTTCTCGGTTTGAAGATTCACCGCGAATGTATGATAGTCACGTGCACGAAAGGAGGGTATCCATGCGACTGCAAAGGGCTAGTCAAGGTGCTCCGAATGCTTCCACATCCGATTTGAGCACATCAAAGCAGGCCAAGTGAGTTACTACAATTGATTTCTGTGCAGAACAATATTTTTCATCCATACTTATTCACTCCTTCATCTCTGGAGAAAAATTGACCCCTATCCCTTCCGCAAGGGGCCGTAATTGCTATCGTCATTACTCAAAAATTGAGTTTTTATAGTAATTAATAGTAATTATTTTAAATAGAGTATATAAAGATTTTATGCGTAATGAAAAGACAGAAAATGAATTTCCCTGAAAAATGTTCAAAATGTGTTGTACATTTGATTCGGGGATATCATTTTCTGATTTTAGATACTGTCTTGTTCATTAAAAACCCATACACCTAATTTGTGAAGGTATGTGTTCTATTTTATTTTTGCCATTTAATTTTATAATTGCGTCGTGTCAATTGTTGATAGACATCTAAAAGTCTAAACATTTTAAAATGCGCCGTCCTTTAATATTTGTTGAGAAGGCTCAAGTAGTGGCCAAAAAGGGCAATTTTTTGGTAGAAATGAGAGTACAGTTCTCAAAATTAAAAGGCGTTGGGAGCAAGAGAGGTCCTTGAAAAGAAAGGAGAATTGTGGATTTGTGGAAATATCATAGGATTTTCTGGCTCTCCACCTAGTGACAGTAAATTTATAGAAGAACGAAGACAGAGGCGGTTAATTTTTGCAATAAGTTATATATATCGCGAATCTGAATTAGTTTTTTTATCCATTCATAGATGAAAAAACTTTTCAATCTATCCTATGGACTTGACAGTACAAGATTTGGAGAGAGTTATACTAGCAACTTTGCTAATAGGAGGTGGTATAAGAAGATTAGAAGATAGAAGATTTAATTCTGAAAATTATTTTCTGTTTATGTTTTGGAGCCTATTATGCTTATCAACACCATAATTGTCCTGTCTGCATTGTAAATGCTATTAAGGGCTGGTTTTAATATAATAATGTAGAAGTGTGGGCTATAATACTAAAAAAAATTGTATCCGTAACTTTTTCACAAAATTCTAATGCATTGTGGGAAATAATTGATGAATGTTAATGAATATAATAATGTAATGAATGAATATTTATACCTACTATTGTTCTTGTTTAATAAAATATTCGAATTGTGGGCATTTTTAAAAAAATAATCTAAATATAAAATCTTATGTTATCATGTTACTTAATTTTTCAAATAACTACATAATATACGCAAATGATATGTCTCTGATAACCTAAAAGAAAGAATCACAAAAGTCTGTTTCAAACTGCTTAAATAATACAAAAGCTAATCATGAAACTTGTACGTGTTTTTTATGAACAGACTGCACACCAGTTCACACTACAATGCAAATGAACTTTAACTGAGACTTGGAGTGTAGTGTATAATTAATAAGTGATTTGCAGTGTTACTTAATTACTCGTCGACTTACTTTTTGGGGAACTCGATGAATGTCATGAATAACTGTGCCACAAAATTGAACATTTTTATTTACTATTGGCTGTGTAACTGATTCGGTTTTTCTTGTTTTTTTTTCTTTTCATTCTTCTACCGCTACTCATCATACCTACCATTATCGTCAACCCTTGCACAATTCACCACATCACCATTAATGGCAAACTGTCACCGCGGTGAACACGAAACCTATGTGCCTGTGTTTCTTTGTTCTGGAAGCGCCAGCGGTGTGGCAATGGTGCCTCCCACCCAGACCGGGGCGCAGGTCCAAGCGGGCCTGCCTAGGAGGGGTAGCAGTTCCAAAGACCCGCCACCGGCGAGGTTGAAAAAGTGAAAAGCCTTGCGGATTTAATAAAACAGTGAACAAATTTTTTCTTTTAGGTTAAGTGTATTTTGGAAATCCATTGTAGGTGTCTCGAGAAGTGATTAGAGTGTTAATGTTTTGTGTTAACAAGGCTCGCAATATAAATATGCGCGACTTTCTTGGAGTGCAAAATTTTTATCTGTTGCTAAGCGATCGTCTCCGAAATTTACCGATTGATTTAAAGCAAATGAATGTGATATTTATTTAACACATTTAAAACACCCTTCAAAATTATTTGGTTATAGGTTCAGTTGTTTTATTATGTACCACCGTTATCTTTTTTATATTGTAGCGTTTAAGGAAATGAAAACATAGGCAATGCTGGTACATATTCAATCGAACCCTTTGAGTTTTGTTTTATTTCCCATTGTTGGGTAGTTGTAAACTTTTTTCGTTCCAAGTGCAATCGTGTACCACGGCATTGCCCTTTAAATGTTTGTCTCGTACGATTACAAAAACAACGATTGAAAAAGAAACAAAAAAAATGTATTGTTAAAGTAGCCTATAGGGCACAGAAGGATATGTGCAAATCTACTTTTTGCAACTGTCAGATTTGGTTTGGCTGATGAGACTGATTTATACTGAAACCATAAAGTTTCGGAAAAATGTAAAAACGAATTTAATAAAGCTTTGAAGAACATTATACGTATATTTTATATGCGTATCTATACTATTTATTAAATTTTGTATAAAATCGCACCTCTTCAGCATTTGTGGCAAATAGCGATCAAATTTGACAGTGAATTTAATAAATTATACAAAGCCCACGACTATAATTGTAATTCTTAAATGGGTAAAAAATTATGTACATATCTAGACTGACATTGTGTATTTCTTTGTATAGGATCAACACTTTTTAGTTTTGTGCGGAAATTTTTATAATATAAATAACTACATAAATGCTAGGCTAGCGTGGGTGGGTTGTTGTATGAGTTTGATTTGCTGGTACAGTTGACTCATTAGCATTTGTGATTTTTTTTAACAACATTTTTTTGGGAGGGGGGAGGAATCATAGAAGTTTGATGAGTCAGCTAATCGACAAAGATATATTTCAACGTTTCTTTAAAGATGTATGTACGCAAAACATACAGCAAAAAAAATTGCCATGTTACGCCATGGATTCAGTTATATATTTAGTAGGATGATTATGTATTCTTTACAAAAATATTTCCCGTGTTGATTGTTTTTTTTTTGTTACTATGTGCCGCCCGCACTGAATATTTTTCAATGTTACTTTATAATGCTCATGCAATCTGTCTTTGTAAATATATATATATATGTTAAATTTAATTTCTTTGCGTGAATACCTGGTTTTCAGATTCAATACCAAATGTGATTAAAAAAGTAAGTCTCACCTTTTAGGCTAGAATATTTTGAACTTATCGCCATGATACAGGGAACCAAACCTATTTTTGTTTGCATTATCGTCACATATACGCCTGCATATAACGGAATCTTAAGCATTGTATACAGATTTAACTGACTGAATTTTTGAAGTGCATTTTGTTCCTATATTTAAAAATCTCGATTTTCATGTTCATTGCTGAAATCGAAAATGTTTTTGCAAATTAATTTGTTAGTATGAAGTTTGCAAGAAGAAAGTTTGAAAGACAAAGCACACAACTAAAACAATAGGCGGTCTAGGCTAATTGCAATCACAATATTTGGTCCAGTGAAGTCGTATGGCAATGGCATGGAAACCAAGAGTTTTATGTTAAGTGAAAATTTTCCAAAGTAATAAAACATCTTCCTTTAAATCAATGCATTTAGGTAATAGTACTTTTGAAATTTTTATTTGTATGTGGTAAGAGCTAAACTTTTTTTTAAATTAATTTAGCAAGTTATGTAATCATATATTTTAACAAAAAGCATAACTTTTTCTTGTACATATTACCAAACGCGTTCTTAATGTTGTGTATATATTTGAACATGGAGGTAACCTCAAATTAGTGCATTATTTTGTAAAAAATTTGAATTGCCCTGTAACTGACAAATTACCGAATTGAATTGATGCGAATGTGTTAGTACTTACAAATTGCAAATTAAACAGAAAGAAGAAGAAAACAACAACACACAAAACTTGATCATTGGAAAAATCATGTTTTTGGTTCCAATATAAATATGATCGATTTTGATTTGGCTTACGAAATTTCAAAAAAATGTGGATTTTTTTTTATGTTTTCCGAAAACGATTTTTCCCGAGTTTCTTTTGCACTGTGTATGTTAATATTAAAAGAAATAAAAAGAAATGCAGATTACTTATTTTCAACCTCTCCTTAAACTTTGAAATTTCAGTCTTAATAGAGTTCTTAAATGAAAATAAACTTACATGTTAAGTTATGTGAACCCCAAAATATTTATCAAATTAAAATAATCAATAAATTTATATTTTATTATTATTAGCAAGTGAAACATTGAGAAATGGTTATGTTATGGAATCGCGAACTTTTCTACTTTAAATTCTTTTCGGAATTATATTTTTTCTACACATTTTTGCCTAAGTAAACATCCCAAAAAGAGAATACTAAGTATGTTAATTTGTTGGTTGTAATGTTCAAAAAAACCAACAAGTAAGCATGTTTTAATTGGCAAAAGCGCATCGGAATTTACACTGAAGGCGCAGTATTACAAGTGTCATAAAAATTTAGATTTTATTTGTACAACTTCAATTGAAAGTATCAAAATAATGTTAAAGAGAATTGCGAAATAACGCGTACATCATTATTTGGTAAACGTCTTTCAAATGTTGAAATGTTTAAAAATGGACATTAAAAATTACATTCTCAAACTTGAAGAGACGATTTATCAATACAAATTTCACAATCATAGTTTAGTTTCTTAAAAACTATAAATTTCAATTATTTTGACCAGCAGACTCAGCACTTGGATTATATCCGATCCTATTAAAAATTTCTCTTTTACTTTTGGGTCCTAGTTCGAATGGAGGCAAGTCTGATATACTTTTTTGAAGCTTGTCGCTTTTAATCTTTCTTCGATGTTGTTCATACTCAACTACATCATCTACTTTAAGCTCAATACTCGTTGGTGGTCGTCGAAGCATTTTTGTATACAACTAAAACAACTGTATTTTATCGATTCAATCATCATCAAATTAACTAAATATTAGGAAATACCAAAATCATTTTACCTTATTTTTAGAGAGAGGTGTATGACAATCACAGAACGCCAAGGTGCCCCAACTGTATTTCGTTAAATGTTAGGTTATCAACTAGTTGGACATCGGATGCCAAAGACTATAAACCGAGGTATGACTTAATTGCACAGATTACATAAGATGGCGTTCCTTTCGAATTATTTACAACAAAGTATGAAAAAAAATTGCCTGTATTCGCGGCTTTAATGAACTGTATTTAAAATCGATAGATGTCACCACTGGACATGTTACTTCTCCCAAACATTTTTGAAGGTATTAATTCGTGGAAAATAACGAGTTGTCAAGTTCAAAATGAGAGCGAAGTGGCGTAAAAAGCGTATGCGTAGGCTAAAGCGCAAAAGGAGGAAGATGCGTGCGAGGTCAAAGTAGATTTCTCGCGAACGCGAGTCTGAATGGACTCTCACGATTTTGGAACTGCCGTTCGCAATGTAATTACGGGTTGGCTCGAAATTGCACACCCCTTCAAGCCGACCCACCAAATTAAAGCGATTTAAGGTGGTCTGTGAAAGAAATTGCAATCTAAAGATTTGGAAAAATTGCGGAAAGAGGTTGTTCTATCCCGGCAGAATTTCCTTGAGCCCATTGACACATCTACTGATCAAGCGAAGAAACACAAATTGTGGAGGGGCGGGATTGGCCCGCTGACGGAAAAAGTTTTCCTGGTACATAGATAATAGAATGACCAGTTGAATGCCACACATTTCGCTAGCGAAAGGGCCGTTGATTAGTGCAATCATGGATGTGTATAAATTAATGCAATTAATTCAGGACAAGAAGATGCGGGTAAGTTACTAAACCAATTATCACTTATTTCATGTTTTAAAACTATCCTCTATATGTTTACGTCAAATTTTGCATGCTATATCTATATATTAATGTACTCGCATTTGTTTCTTAGGGCGAAGGGAGACTGACAAAAGCAGAAGTAAGCGGAAGCTTGTCGGTTAGTTACAGCGGAAGTGTATTTTTTCCGCTCGGAAATACTGGCGTGTGTGGGATAGGACTTGGAGAATTTTATCTTGATCTAGAAAAACTTAGGTTGAGTTTCGCCTACGAAAAAACGTTTTGTTTAGCAGCAATTTTGCATAGTTAATTAGCTATAAAAGCAGACTACGTTGAGGGAAGAGGAAGAAAGAGAAATTCATTGTAGATTCGCAAATTTACGCTAAAATACAAAAAAAACAAAAAACGGTTATTTACGTTTATTATGTAAACCTCCAATATAGATACAAAAACCATAGGTTTTACTCGTAAAACAAAGTCCGTTACAAATGGTTACTGATTACGAACTAAACCAATTTAAGAGACAATACAAAATACCTATAATATTATCATAAATTATGTAATGATTATGACACCATCTACAAATCTACTGGCAGTATGATTATGAAAAAACGTGATTCTGAATCGCGCGATCGTACATAGATTTAAAAACTTAAAAGATACAATTATGAACTGAAAATCCGATTGAAAGGTAAAAATCGCACATATTAAAACCACAAGCTTTTTTAATTCGAGTCATTCTCATTCACATGATTGCGTCCCAAAAGAAGCCAAAAACTTCATAGAAGTAAATAGGAGTAGGCAAACAAAAAGCTTCCATACATGCAATTTATATAAAAAAAATTATATATCACAAAAGACTATCACAAGAAATAAATTCAAATAAGTGAATAAAAATTAAAAGATTTAATTAAAGGAAACCAATTAAAACTTCACTCAAATCGACCATCGTTAAACTGCCTAATTTTAGGTAGTTTGGCGAGGTTTCAATGCTGATCTTGAACACGCCATTCAAAACATGGTGAAAAAGTATATAGCAATCATCTAAAAAACATTAAAACGCTGTTTGTATGGAAACTTACATTAGCTATACTGATTATTACAAGTTACGTTGATACAAAAATATGTAAATATGCGATTACACAGCATATCCGAAATATTATAATAAATACATATATTTTAAATAGACATGCTGAAAAGATCGAATGAAGTTAAATCTTTATTGACTATTCCGATTTAGGAATAAGAACAGAGGCAAAGTTTTAAATTCATTCCGATAACTAAATCTAAAGGAAATACGTGTAAAACAATAAAAAACTTAAGGCGAGATCATTTCCATTAAAAAAACTAAATATTCACGAACAATTTCGCAAATTATAACCGATTCACTTGCGGAAAAAGGAAGGTGAAAAATATAATCTAACAGCTATGTTCGGAGTAATGTCTCACTTCGCGTGGCATGTTCAACTGAACACATCTTTCAACAAAAAAAAAAACGGATAGCTTTAAAACAAACGATTCTCAATGTTTTAGCGCTGTAAGTTAAATCCGGCAGCAGATTTACATTGGTTAGATTAATTTGCCAATGTTATCACCCGTTGTTAGAGCTAGGCGTTACATATATTGATGAACGCACCTATATTTAACTTACAATGATGGGATCACGTAAATAACATCACACAGAAGCCACAGATTTTTGTGTGAATGAAATCTGGAATAACTGTCAATCTCTAACTCGTAAAGATAACTCGTTCAGGTACCATTTAGAGAGATGATGACTGAAATCTTTTGCAGTTGCTACCAACTGAACTACAAAATGCAGCATAAATATTGTTTTTTGTGCATTAAGTATTTTTTGTTGGTCAGTATTTAAATTTGCTATAAAACTTTGCGTAACCAGAATTCTTAACTACTTTTGCGCAACTAACAACACAACTCAGCTAACGAATTTCGTACATTGTGTCGTTTATGCAGAATTTTTGTGTCAGAATTTTTATTTATATTTTCTATATTTTATAATATGTGGTTTGTGAGTGCTGGGGCATGAACCCCTCTTAATCGGGTAGCGCGACACTTTTCCTCATTGGTTATTAATTAGGGACGCCACATTTGAAGTCGAGTCACTTTTTGTATGTTGTCAAGCGCATAAAAGTGAATACGTGAATAACAACAGACGCAATTTTGCGCAGTTTGTGGAGTTTTTTTAGTAATTTGGTAATTTAGTAATAGCTTGCTTTAACTTTCGTCTCTACTTCTTTTTATTTTAAAATTGTCGTCGCTATATGTTTTGTATCAAGCCTTTAGTGTAACTAATTGTAATAAACGCGCAAAAATTTCTCTCAGTATAATCTTACATTTCGTTCTCCTCTTGTCACTTCTATTTGATGTTATTCTGTGGTTTCGATTGAATCGTTGCGTAGATGTAGTAACACATAAATATCTAATTCAATTTAGATTATTTTTTGTTTTTGGAAATGTAAACCTTTATAGCTTCTTGTTCTTTTAACGAATAAGCATTGCACAGAAATAAAAAACTGTTGATATCCCAAACGGATCCATAAAGCCTTATTTTGGTATTTTTCTACTTCTCTCTATGTTTTGCGGGCCGCTATTATTCTAGGCTCATTACAATTTACCCTCGTAACTTCGCAATAACACTCGATATACATAAATACACCTTTCTATCGAAAAACCAATCACATCTAGAAAACAATCTATAATTCGATAAATACTGCCGAGTACTGTCACGTACCTTGTGTCAAATTTTTTGCATGTTGAGAGCTGTCGAGCTAAACTAGCAAAAGAAAACGTGATATATAGCAGTATTCATCTACCAAAATTCCAAAAAGATTAAAGGGCTCTCTAATAAATCACTCATTATCTTCGTATTTACCACAGACATTAACACAGACAAATATTTCTTCTACCACAGTGTGCTTCGTGAAGAGCTCAAAATCGGAGTTTCGTCCCCTTTCATTCTCTACTCTACTAATATTGTTATAGAAATGAACAGCAAAAAAAAAACACTCAAAATAACAGTCAATCCCTTCCAAATATTTGAATTGAAAAATTGCACCAACCCCTTTTGTTTTTTCTTCAATTTTCTAATGCTTATAAAAAAAGTATTTTTTTACACTGAACCATAGAAAACAAAATAGATCATGACAAAAAACGCCTTACTTTTAAAATAGTTGTGTAAATATTTTTATTGCAATTTATTTGTTGCATAAAATACTTACATTTGTGGGAGTATTGTCATTGTCAAAAAATGGTATAATCAATACAGCACTTCATTCTATTCCATTATTCTCGTATGAGGCATTTCATAAGAATAAGATAAGGAAAAAATACAGGTGGTTCGTATTACAAAATCTGAGTGTAGATGACAACAGAAATCCTCAACAATACATAGGATGAGTACTATTTTTTTTGAATGAATTTTTTAGCCGTCCATTTTAGACATACATCACAACAACTTTAGACCTTACCCGTACACATGGGTACCATTCTTGGTTTAGGTAATAAATAAATAAATAATATGGCTATATCTTTGAGCATATTGAGGAAAGTCGAAATTTTTGTGATACGCTTTGCACAAGAATTTCGAGAGAAAATTGGCTATACACTCTCTATATTTCTTACACATTGCCAACTAGTTGCTCCCAATCGGTGAAACACGTTAGAGGTACATGAAGAGGAAAAAATTGAAAGACGTGTCATTCCGCGCCGAAGTCCTTGCGCACACTAATAATAAGTTCCGTTAAAATCTAACCCGACTTTACCGTTAAATTGCATAGAAACATTGAACTAGGTTTAAAATACAGTTCAATTACTTTTTGGCAACATCCATTTGTTATTTAATAGGCCTTGTCGGTGTTTGCGGGGAAATGGTACCTAAAGCTCGTACCAAAAATCGCTTTAGGCCTTTTTTGAATGCAGACGGAATTTTTGCAAAACAAAGATGTCGCGCCAGTAAGTGAACTCTATCACTTCGTCTGGAAATTCTACAAACTGTTGTGAAAAAGTGTTAGGGATGCCATTAATTAAAAAACAACGCAAACTGTTACGACCGAACTTCACTTTCGCACACGTTTCTGAGTGTCATTTTTCTACTTACGAATCGTAGAACTCGGTTTACCGTGGACTTTTTGTCTGACAGAAACACACGTTACGATCGTGTTTCACGTCAGATCGCAAATTCGGTTTAAGTCCAATCGAGAAAGCAAAAATTTGCATTTAATACGAGTCTATACGACGTGGTTCGCTTATGGTTCGCGAACATTGCGGATGATGGCGCTGTCATCGTCGAACTCTTCTAGTTTTGTCAGTCCCATCCATTTTCCTTAATCATATGTGCTAATTCGATTATGAACTTGCCCTCTTTGTATTTTTGACTCGACTCGAAGGCATGTTCCTGAAAATGCAAGGTTTATATTTATTCACCTGTTTCCCAAATGTTACTTAAAAACTTTTTACCGCGTCAGAAATAATTTCGAATAAACTTAACTTTTTCAATATGCGTGTGGTAAATGAAAATGCAAATAACAATCTACACAACCTCTCAAAAACTTTACTTTAAACATGACAAAAATGACAAGCCTAGATTATAGACTAAATAAACCTAGACTTGCACTCTACTTTAGAATAATTACTATAAAAATTCTTTACTTATTCTGCGATATTACATTGAGTGTTATCAAAATATTTCATATTTTGAATAACATAACCCGAAATGCCAGTTTTACCCAGCAAGCAAATACAAGGTTAGTTTGCTCTTCGTTTTTTGAATAAATAAGGAAGCAGATCCAAAGTTGAAAAAATCTGGAGTAAGTGAGTCTAACAAGTGAATGAAATAGAAAAAAGAATGAAACACTGTAGAGCCTCTTATTTCTTTAATGAAGAATAAAATTAACAAATAAAGGTGTATTGTAAATAGTAGATTTTTTCAAAATAATATTACAATTTATCTATTTTCATATTATTCTTCTTTATAAGTATTTATTTAGTTGATTTTAATTATTATTATTAATTAATTTAGATCTCAATTATCTGTCTCTCTATATAATTATAATCATTCTAATAAACTACCTATAGTTACGCCGCTGTCACATTACTTTCATTCATCAGAAAGTTTCACCCTATTTCGGTAATCCCCGAGTATTTAAGGGTAAATCTTGTATTTTGATCTTTTTGAATTTTTAACTTTAAAACATCAATCTCATTAAACAATGTCGTGAGTCACCTCACGCCCTCCTTTAGTCACGGTTTTATAAAACTGGTTGCAATATTATTGTATTTTTTAGATGTTTTTTTTTAAATACGGTTTTAAAATATGATATTAATTAGGATATCTTGTCTTTCTTTACTTTATTTTATTTTGTTTATGTATTAGTGAATCCTACTCGAATGGATCGGTTCGATAGACTAATTATTTAAAAAAAAAACATTGAATTATCACCCACCACATTATATTAATAGATAGGTGAGAAAGTGTTATACAAAAAAACACTGAAATAAAGCTTAACTGTAAAAAGCATATCTTTTTTCGGTATATTTGCTAAGTGAATTTCAGAGAAAAATTACTTTAAAAGTTTTGGGTGCGTAAGTCCTCTTGGAAATTACTTTAGTAATAATTTTTCTTACCGGCAATTTCGGCTCATATCGGGTATTGTTGACGTGTATACAGTGTAAATGATCAAACGACCAATAAATTGAATTCGAAAGATATGTGAAATATCCAACAAAAATGTTGAAAATGGGCCACCGGGGACAGTCCTGGTATCGAATGTATACGTACATATTTCCATCCTAAGGTTGTTTTACAGCATTCGCAATAAATGTCAGCTACGGCGTGTAATCCCGTTAAAAGCACCCTTTCCTCTGCGGGACCGCATCCTACGTTAACGCTAAAATGGGATACAAACGAAAGTTAAAAATTTCATTCGATATCTCAACAATATAAACACTGTTGGTGGTCTTTATTGGTGTATCAATACTGAATGGTATATTGTTGTTGACCTCTAAGAAGAAACGCTTTAACTTTTTTTCGATTATCTAAGACGCGATTCAAAGATATTTTTTTAACATCAAGAGGCTCGAAAAGAATAGTGCACCACTGGCATTTTCCTTTGTTAGGCTGATCATTTTTATTAATCCCAAATTACTTACTTCTTAAGAAACTTTGTAGGAATGACTTGAATTTATTTATTTTTTCTAATAATATGACCATGACTTGTTTAAAAAAAAATACCACTAAAACACTAAAAAAAAAAAAAAGTTAATATCGTTTGGAAGATCAAACACTTATTTCAGGTCAATAAAAAGTGGCTTTATGTTTATAAACTGCAACAAAAATTTTTAGTCAGTTTAGCGAAATGTAGCACTTTTAATGTAATTATTTTAATCAAAAACGGTGCATCTAACAATAAAAAATAAAACGGACTACAGAAAAGCAAAATTCACTTGAAAAAATAATCGAAGACGAACTTTACTGGTGGAAATTAAAAAATGCGTTGTGCACCTGACTAACCAAAACACATACAGCAAGTTTCACAAAAACACCTAGGATCGTTTCTTAGATAATAAAAAAAAAAGTTTTTTTTTTCTCAAAATTTTAGCACCCTCTATCTCAAATGTGAAGACTTTTAGGACATACGTTTCTTTCTTAAAATGATCTCGAGAATTCCCTTTCAGTAGTAAGACATCGTTAAGAAACACCCTGTATAATTTCGTTCACAAAACCGTATAGGAAAACCCATGCAACGATAAAATAACACGAAATAATATTTATTCAATTCATTTTTCGTTTTGCAATTTGACCATAAACAATCACACATCATGTCTTCATCTAGTATTTAATCTAGAATCGGCACAATGCGAGGTGTTTTAGCGAAAATATAACAAGATTTTCAAAATTGAGTTAATTAAATTACAACATTTTCCGCTACAGATTTTTCTAGAAGGGATGACATCTACAGAGAGAGACGCCGGAAATCTAATTAACGAATAGGTACAAAAGAGTGTTACGTAACAGTTACATACAGATAAAATAAAAAACTGTCAAAGCAAACGTAAATTTTTCTTTTCCATATTAATAATTATATACAAATTAGACCGTTTAAATAATAATATATATTATTATAGTCGTATACAATGTTTCCGAGATGTTTAAACTTTTAAATCGACGAAATACCTCTACATACAATATTTGCAAAGCGAAATGGAAATCATCACGTTCCATTTATAGGAAGCAACAAGAAAGAAAAACTAGTTTTCATTTTTTTGTCGAATAAATAGAAAGGGCGTCGACATTCTCTGCTATTTTCAAGAATACGCTCTTAATCACCCCTAATGAATCAGGCAAAATTCTTAGTTAAAGAAACCACCTAGTCATCATTCGGTGGTTTCTTTAACGGTTTCAAAGAAAATGAAATTACAGACCAAAGCCGCTCGGTGTTGCCACATTTCCCTCAAAATACCTACATAAAATATATGATATATTATTAATAGGCAGCATCCTGAAATATTGAAAAATGTTTTCATTATGTTTAAGTTGGATTAAGACATATGAATAATTGAAAGTTGGAGAATTTCACCGGCCCGAGAAAAAATAGAAAACATAGTAATTTTGTTATATTCTTATATTTATTTAGAAAGCAGAACAAAATTAAAGAGTTGCAGATAGATCAGAATGCAGAAATAAAAACAAATCTGTACGCAGTCTGTAATAAAAACTTAATAACAATGTAGTACTTATGAAGTAACAATAAGAGTTGCAAGCTTCGCAACTACAGTTTATACATTCATTTATTATTCTATGCTCGTCCTTTTTTTTTTTGTTCACGCATACATGTAATAAATCGTCATCTTTTAGATGAATGTCTCAGTACTGTTTTGAGCACTCTTTTGTAGTTCTCACTTTTTATTTCTCACAAAACTTCTGGATTCCTCCTGCGTGAGTTTTTTCAGAGTCGAACTTGCTAACGTTTCGCCAGTTTTTCAGTCAAGCTCTGAATAAGCCAACAAGATGATGATGATGATGAAACGCGAAAAGTTAGCAAGTTCGACAGAAGTTTTGTAAAAAGTATTATAGTAGTCTGTGGAAGTTTCTTTGAAAATTTCACTTTTTATTTGTTTACACTTATTTTGGAGTTTATTGAAATAATACGTCGCTGCATGTATGTGTGACCTTCAATTGTCTTTTCTTCTACATTAGGCAGTGGTAAACCGTTATATCTTGTGCTATTGCTAATTTCCAAATATTTATGTTGCAAGTTTTTGTCTATAGTGTATATTTAGGCGCCTATGTACTTTTCGCTTATGGTTTCTGTCATATTTTCTTTTAAAATGTGAATTTTGTTGTGCCTAAGTAATATGTTTAAATGTATTTTACACATAGCAGCCATACGATATATACTTACACAGAATTGAACAGATATGCTCGCCCTTGGGAACCTTGGAATGACTAAAAAAAAGAAACTTAGTTAGTCTCAAAATATACCCTACTACACCAATACTGAAAAAGAATGAAAATGGTGAAAGATCTGTTCATATGATTGCTGCTTAGTAATCACTGAGTAGGGATCTCCTAACTAATAATAACCTTTTCTTTCTTGCCCTTTTTACTTTTGTACAAAATATATTTGTAATTAATGTTTTTACTTGTCTGCTTGCCACATTTCATATCAAATCTTGGGGTGAAAGGTAAAATAAATAACGCGTTATTTTCTCAGTTATTAGGTGAAAAAAAACACTAGCCCATCAAAAAATCTTATTATAGCAGAAAAAGAGACGCATTGATTGTGAGCAGCCATTTTGGTTGTTTAAGTTTTTAATGGTTGAAATCAGTTTTGAATTGACTCGGGCATACGTATATTTTACATCCCTTTTCAACATTTATTTGGCTACAAAGTGCCTGTATTGTCAGCATGCGCAGTAGTTAAATTGTGTTATAGATACAGCACTTAACGGTTTTCTAAAATGAAAATAGAAAAATTCCTTCGCATTAAAACGCGATACACACACGTTTCGGTTTCCAGACCGTGCTAAGGAATAAGGTTAATCGATAACTTATTTGCATTAAGCCACCACTTTGGTCGAATGATATACCGGGGTACGGGAACTCAGGGTTTATATTTTGATAAAGGTTTACCTTCGAAATGAGTTCATCGTGATTGGCCAGGTGTGCCCGACAGTGTATGCAAGAGTAGGTGCGGTGGCATTGTGGCAAGTAGGCCTGGAAAGTCTTCACCATGGTGACTTTGGGCGAGTCTGTGGTCGTTTCTGTTGCTGATGCCACGATGTTGCTGGTGCTGCTGTCGGCCGCTGCAATGCCGCTGCTGCTTGCAGGCCATGCGGAAGCGTCACACCTGTAGCGACGAAAAAATCCTTTTTTACAAAAAAAACTTCGCGATGTTGTCATTCGCATTTAATTTTCCCAGTGACAATGGCACTCGTAAAATTATAAATAACATGGTGAAATTTGCTGCTATTTGTCTATTATATTTAGGTTGCAAAATAAATTTCACTTTTCGAATCGAGGAGGCCGGAATTTCAATTATCTGATTGTCAAAATCCCTTGTTACGGTTTTGTGATATGAATAAAAATATTTTTGCGGGATATTATCGATCAGTTTGTTCAATCTCCATTTGAAGCTCCCAGACGCGTGAAAACAAAATAATTTTGTGATGTTGTCCATAGGTAATAAAACTTCATCAAATTGTAAAATTTGCTCCATTTTAATCTATTCCACTGTACAACATCAGAAACGCAAGTTTTAAGAATTTTAAATAGGCAACAGGTTCTATTTGAAAAATTAATTTTTGATTCTCTTTGCTTATACTATGAAATAAAATAACTTTATTTAGATGAGTAAAGCAAGAAAATTTCTGCCTTCGGTGAGTTCGAGTTGGACATATTTCGAAAATCGCACTAGATAAGTATAGGAACATATTAAAGCATTAAATAAAGGCTACGCTAATTATTGTTAGAAACGGCAACGTCGTATATTTTAGTTAGAGCAGCTAATTTTGAAAAACAAAAAAGATTTTCGGCTCTTCGTAAGCGTCTTTGTCATCCGGTCATCAATCAATCGGTATAATATCACTTTTATGTCATTAATTAGATATAGAATAAAATATATGAATGATAAATGAAAGTCGCTAAGAACTTATTAGAAGACAGTAACAAAAAGTCAAAGTCAATGGTTTCCTCAAGAATTATCTTCCAATATATTTATCAAACATTCGATAAACTGACATTGACTAAAACATAGTTTAAATCGACGAATCAGTTTTCGATTTTAAACTTTTTTTTTATTATATTAGTTAATCAAAATTAGTATAGCTTAAACATTTAAAAACCGCACCAGAAGATATGTGGTATATGTCTTCAATGCTTCAGAGTATCCGTGGTGTAGTGGTTATCACATCCGCCTAACACGCGGAAGGTCCCCGGTTCGATCCCGGGCGGAAACATTTTTTTTTAACTTAATAAATAATTCTAAGTCAAATTGTAACGGCAGTCATTTTCAGAATTTTTGGTCGGCCATTCTCAAGATTGTTCGTTCAAATGGGGCCAGGAATCGCAAATGGATGCTCCTCGCGGCGATATTAGAAACGTAAAACTTTTCTGCTGTCACGTCATTTCTCAACCGCCAGAAATAACCTTAAGGCACGCTACAAAATCAAAATCGAACATATCAAACCGCATAAACTTAATTTTAAACGAGCTGGAACCTCGCCAATATACAACGGAATTTCGAAAAGATTATAAATTAAACGGTTAATTTTCCAAACTTTGCATTTCCGGGTTATCAGATAGAAAAATGTAAAAAAGGCCACACTTGCATACAACTCCGGCGCCAGCCACTCATGTTATACTTATTAATTTTACATATTCTATTTTCGATTTTTCTTGTATATTTTTTGAAAGAATTTTTCAAATAAAAAAAAAATTATGCACTTTAGAAGTGATTTTATCAATTAATTGTAGAGCATTTCTTTAGTTACTAATTAAATAAAACGTTATCTGCATGAAGTTTTTTTTAGTACGGACAGCACTAGGAAAAATAAATATGAAATTTTAGTAATAAGCAAATAGAAAAATAACAAAGTATTACCTTTTACAAACATTACCGCATGATGATAGGACGAAGACAACCTGCAATACGCTGTAGTTAATAAAAGTGGCAATATTAAGAATATGGGGCAGTAATGAGGACGTCTTAGCAAACAAAACTTAATCGATTATCCACGAACGTGCATCGTAAAAATATGATGATAATATACAGGTGACTGCTGAAAAAATGACTGCCAGATAAGGTGAGACGAAACCGATACAACTTAATAATAACACAAATTTTAATATAATATACAATTTTGTATAAGAATCGAACGTTACAATTTGAATTTGACCGCGATGAATGGTCAAACTCACCAAAACTCAATGGAGGCCAGTGCCAAGTTTTTTAGTTTTTCAAAAACTTTTCATACTAATACCAATACCACACCTTTTTAGGCGATCGAAATATTTTAAATTTTGTGCAAAATAAGCTCAATCTAATCTGCAACGGCTTGATAGAAAATGAAGCAAATTTTACAATAGGAAAAGACGGCTAGTAATGAGGATTCTTGTCTTGCTGTTGCTCATTTATCTAGATGGGAGAATCTAATGTTCTTGTTATTGTGATTCTTACTAAAATCATTTACATATTATTCTCGATGAAAACCCAATATTTTCTTAAAATATATAATATATAATATGAGCGGAGCGAATTTTTAATAAACGAGTGAGTTAAAAAGTTACCGAACGTGTTGCATACTATACTTTTTCTACGACCGTTAGTTTTTGGGTACATTTTCGCAAAACACGAATACATTCACTGACATGACCGTCAGAATTGACAAACGTCAAAATTGAAAGTGCGGAAAATATCTCCGAAAACATTCAATTGCTGCGGTAAAATTCCGGAAATGTCCGAAGTGGCTCGTAATTAGGCATTTCACAGACGGGAGTAGAAAAAAATATTTTCTAAAGTTTGAAGTAAATATGTCGTTCAGAAAACAGCAGTATGTTTTTTTTTGGAAGTATTGTTTTAAAAAAGGTCGAAAATTTAATACACATACTTCATCAATATTTTTTTATTCCTTGAAAGAGAAAAATTTAAATTTGTTTTTAAAAATTTTGTGACAACCAAATCAATTAGGTAAAGGATATCAAAATATATTTCTAAATAATATACATTATCATGTCGTACAAATGATAAAATCACATTATCAATTTTCGTTAGCACGTAATACTTTATATAAGTTAATATAAGAGTTTCTAAAAGTTACTAAAATTAAATCAGATCATGTAATAAGCAATAGATGCATTCAAAAAATGTCTATTAACACTAACATGAAATTATTAGTAGGTGATACACAAGATTAATTAATTCTTTGAACCACTTAGTTCAAAGAAGGATAAATGAATGAAGCAACTGTTCACCCATAAACACCCCAAACAAAAAAGCTTTAAAATAATATAGAACAATCACAATTACACTTATATTAAAAATTGTCACTGACCCAAATATCACAAGATGAAACGCAAAGCTTTTAATAGCAATAAAATAAAAAAAATATAAACAGAATAATCTTTTAATTATATTTACGTTACTTTCGTATCAAGCAATTAACGAAAATATTTTATGCGAAAGCTCGTCTTTTAACGACTACCCAAGCGTCTACACCAACGTGTCAACAAAATGCTCGAAGCTTTTGTTTGCCGCTTATGTTTGGCCGGGATTTTCAATGTCACACACTCTCTCAGTTCACAGACGAAAAAGGTTTTTCCCTGTACACCGTCAGTTGACGAACCGCGCGTTAATTTATTTATTACTGTTCCGGGAATCTCATGTTTTGTCCGCATTGTTTACAGTGTACTTAATACAGCCATGACAACGCACTCTAGATGCGAAGCTGTTATCTTATCGTTTCGGGTGATATTTAATCCGGCCTGTTGATGCTGTGACGCGCTGTCTACGACACACGAAAAAAAAAGTGCGCGTTACCAATTTGATAAAAATCTATCCGTCGTCAAAAACCGTGTCAAAAAGTAAAGATCAAAAGCAGTAAATATTTTGTACGAAAGTGCGCATTTTAAAATCCTTTTGTTTTGTCGGTACTTAAGCGTTACCTTACGCCATATAACATTATGACCCTGCCCATAGCTCGAAAACTGACCAATAAGATTCGATTTTCTCTTTGGGTTAGTTTTGGTATGCTGCTTAAAAGCGCTTAAACATTAACACCCTGGAAACAGAACATTGAATTTGATTCCTCAGTTTTCGCGCTGAGGGTTGGAAGTTGGGTCGAGCTGGAGTAGATAAATATCTGAACTGTTAATAATAGAAAATATGATGACACTAAAAACAATAAAAGAATAAATAAAAATAAATATACTTAACTAAGTACCTTTTTATTCAATCTAATTCAGTTTCACTGAATAATAAGTACGAAAGTCGTAATTACTTTAAGACTTTAGGACAAGACGCTATACGATACACACCATACGCGGGAATCATAGCGTGATTTCTGATGCCGGCTGACGAAAAGATGGCTGAAACATTCGACCCTTTTTACGAAAACAAATGCGCTCTATAAAAGCGAAGCACCGCCCTCTAGCCAGTCAGTCCTAAAGTGAAACCGTCCATCATGGTAATACAAATAATAGACGTTATACATTTTAAGTAATGTGTATAATGAATAGCAGTATGATATAGTTAAGAGTTACTGACTTTAATTGTTTATTTTTGTATGAAATAAATATTCAGTCCTGTTAAGTTTTACGTGGACTTGTTTCAATTTCACCGTGGTGTTTGACTAACCCGAACGATTTTAATCAATTTAAAAAAGTACCAATATGTCTTATTAAAATAGTTAAGTGTCTCGATTTCATTTAATTACCCAACGTTTCAGGTAGATTAAACGCTGTCCATTATCAAATATAAGCTAATTCCGCACTTATGAACTTATTTAAGTTGCATATTATCATTGCCCGTTTACAAATTCTATTAATAAATTAAATTTTGTACCGTATGAATTGGTTTTCAATATATCAATGCACCTTCACCCGCAGGTTATCCAGAAACGAATTTTAATAAAATTGCGATTGGTTAAAAGGGTTTTTTCCTACTTAGTTATACTTACTACTTTACAAGTTATTCCCTGATGATGTTTACATGGTATATCTTATTGTAATTTTAAAATAAAAACGGAATTAAACATCATAAAAACACTTTACTATCTTTCTCATATTCTTCGAGAAAAAATGCAAGTTCTCACATTTTCTATGGTACAAAAAGTAATAAAGGAAATAATATAAAAAATCTGACACCACCGACGTATAGATCAAGGTGCTCCGCTGGATAAATATCCAAGAAATATCGAAATTAAATTCGGTAGTTTCTTTGGTTAGTTTTGGAAGGATACGGAACCGGTCGGTAAACTATCAAACCATTAACCTGGGCATAAAATTTATCTTTAACTTGAGAGTAAGGGTTGTGCAGACGGCACCTCAAGCGCCCTATCACTCCCTCAAGTCCTAATGAAGTCCATTCTGTGTTCTACCACAAAATGGCCAGAGACGAGAGTTATCGATATGGAACATCGCTAGAAAAAGCGTGCATTTGAAAAAGTCGTCTTTATTAAGTTCTTGTGTTTTCTATAAACTTGTTTGTCTGGTTTCAATAAATTCTGCCATCGTATTTAATTATTTAAACCTTACTTTTACGGATTTCAATAAAAATAAATAATACAAGTGGGTGGGGCTTATCTCTCACCATAAACTTTACGACGTTATCGGTTCGACGGGTTAAGACGAGAATATTTCATTCTCGATTAATTACTAAACCATAGAGGTCATCCAATATAAGAAAAAAGGTCACGTGGTTCACATTAAATCCAGGCGGCCATTGCTTAGCTTCTTATCTCATAATAAGACATATTCGTCACGAACAGGCCTGTGTACCATTTTGGTCGCGACCAAATGGTATGTCCGTTGTTAGTGAAGATAGAGCCTTGCGTTTCCCCAAACCTTTTTTGTGAAACGAAGGATGACGTTAACAAAATTTTCATGACTTGCTTAGTTTTTAAAATACAGGGTGATTTTGGAAATTTGAAGTTTTAGGACACCCCTTGTATCTCGGATGTCCTATGAAATGTCGAACATTTCCTTTGTAACATTTCACGAAGCTTTATGACCTATATATTATTAAAAAAGATAAACCAACAAGTTATACATTACCCCATTAACCATAACTTTTATACATTTTTAAGAAGCTCATACCAAGCGGAATGAAATTGGCCTATAAGATATAGGGAGTTCCATTAAAAAAAAACAAACCCTTTTTTTTCAAAAGACGAAATCATCTAGAAAAAAAGACTACGTCACTGAATTTTAGGTAAAGGTTTATATCGGATGCGCTTTGCACCTTTCCGACATTTCATAGGATACCCAAGATACGGGGGATGGTCCAAAACATCAAATTTCCAAAATATCCATGTCTTTTAAAAACTAAGCAATTCATGAAAATTTCGTTAACGCCATCTATCGTTTCACAAAAAAGTACCAAAAGTTCGCGAAAACACAGGGTTCCATCTTCACTGACTACCCCTCGGTCGCGACCAAAATGGGACACAGTGTATTTCTTTATTCCATTTGTTTATGTATACAACACATGTATATAACGCATACCAAATATCAAAACTCAAAACCCAATATTTCAGTTGCAAAAAATAATTTAAGTTGTGACGCCCGGCTATTCCTTTTGAACGGGAATGATCGTGAAGTCATACCGCTGCTTTTCGATCGATACGGCGATATGTTATAGCGTTATTCTGAGGTTATAAGCCGCGCATTATATTATTTACGTTCATTTTTGGCATGTGTAACGTTTATTTGTATTTAATCTACATCAGCTTGTATTTGTGCTTAATCTTCTTTATATGATAATAATAATGGAAGCAACACAAAAACAATATTACAAATCGTGCCTACGTGTTTGAGAACAACCCGTAAAACGCCACATAAACTTTTGATTCGTCTACCAGAAAATAAACGCCATTTTTAACTCTTCGAACATGCACCCATCCTATTGCAGTTTCCATAGGGATGGC